TGTTTGCTTGTTTGTTTTCCTGGTGAGGACAAAGCTGAGACTTGGTCGTGCTCAGGAGGATTTAGCAGCACTGGAAGTAACCTGGAATCCTGTAATGGTTACTGGGTCAGAGCAGTGGAGCAGCTACAGGATTCCAGAGTGCAAGACTGTCACTTGGCAGGGCAAAATGTGGTCATCTGTCATTTGGGCTTCATTAAAGGAAATTGACACAGCTAAAACAATAGAGAAATTATTGAGCACCTAAGTGACACATGGGAAAGATGTGGACTTCATCAGGAGAGCCATCAGGTGTTAATGTCACTGCACGGTGCAGTGGTGACACTTCACTTGGCTCCATGTGAAATGTTGATTACTCTTACACAATAAAAGTATGTTTTGGTGCATAGCCGCACAGTGGGGATCAAAGGAAGGAGTCTGTTACACCTTAGGAGAAAACTGCTTTACATTCAGCAAAGCCAAGGATGGAGAGGGAACATTGTTCCCTAGGGGGAATGTGTGGTGGGATAAAGGAGGGCAAGGATCTCTAAAACGAAAGACAGCACTAGCAAAAGAATTTCTGGGTAGAATCCAGCACCCTTTGCCCCATTTTTTTTCTTTTAAGCAGGAATTCACTTTTTCACAAGATTTCTAATGACTGCAATAGTAAGGGTGGTGAGAACTCAGTGGTTTTTTGGTGCGTGGGGCTCCTTGGTGGTTTTGCAACTGCAAGTTAGGAATCAGTTTTGATTACATTATTGCAGGAATCGCCGTTACTTACGCAGAGAACTCGTTCTGTGTGTCTTGGTGGTCTTGTCCTGTGTACCTTGAATTCTCCAAATATATACCTTAAATTAACTGCACCAATTAAGGCTCTTTTAAAGTTAGCCAGTGGGCTGGCTGGTGTAGTGTCTGAGCCTTGTGTTCTGTGGCTCTTTTAATTCCTTTCAGTGGCTTTGCTAGGTTAAAGCTAGCTGGAGACCACGAGGTGTGAACCAAACAAGTACTTAGCAGGAGAAAGAACAGTTACAAAGATCTGACAGCTTTCTTGTGCATAACTGTTTAAACTCTGCTGTACAGCTGGCTGTTCATGTTTCATTGAAGTCCAGCTAGAATCTGTCTTTAGTTGGGAGAACAGTGAGAGAGAGCCCAGAGTCCTGAATTCTGTTTAATTTGAGATCAGACTCACAGACATAAAAGCTACCACAAACCCTGGTTTCATTCCTGCAGTTTGCTACTGTGTACTCACAGGACAGCCATGATCTGATAGATGTGTTTTAAAAATTGCTGGTAAGTATGTGATGTGCATTTTTCCCTCTCTTAACTTAATTATCAGTTTTGCACATTTCTTATAGTGGTGTAAGCAATGATTAAGAGAATTAAATTGTCTTTTTTTCATCTTGTCCCTGGAAGCCATCTCTGCCACTGCAACTCTCCAGATTGAATTTGGGATTGCTGAGATTAGAGACTCGGGTTGCATGACTAACATGATGTTCTTGTTGGTATCAAGTGCATCTGTGCTGCTGTTTAGTTTGCTCAAGTTGCTTCCTAGGAACTCTGCCTTTCTGCTTCTCCATGGCAGGTTCTTTCAGTGCGTTTCTTACTGCCAGTTTATCTGCACCACGCAGATTTTCCCTGCTCTATTGCACAACATCATACAAGCATCTATGAAGAAAATTTACTCTATCCCAGCCAAAACCTCGACTGTAACCACCCCTTATTCCATGCCACTTCATGTGCAGGTCGTGTGCTCTGTAATGCATCCTCATTAATCACCTCCCTTTCATTAATACACAGATATTATTCCACCAGTGTATGGGCCACACCTGTGGCTCAGTCCATGACCCACTGTCTGTCTGTTGTGGTTGCTTGGGGCAGAAGTGACCTGGAGTTACTGGATGCCAGAGACACTTCAGGTTGGGTCTCTGCTGCACTTGCACTGCTCCCTGCGAGGCTCATCTTCTTTTGTCTCCAGCAATTCCTTCAATAGAAGAACTTGCTGTGAAATGCAAATCAAGTCATGGGTTGCAACAGTTTAAAGATGCATCCATTAGTCTCCACCTTTTTGCCTTTTGGACCAGGCCACAGGGCTTTAGATGGCAGTGAACTCCCCTCACTCCAGCTCCAGCCTGGGCTTTTCCATTGGCCGTGGTCCCTCCAGACACCTGCTGGGTCTGCTTTATCCATGGTCACGGATGCCTTGAGGTATTCTGGCACGCTCTTGTCTGTGATCACAGATGCTGCAAAGTGTGCTTGCTCCTGTATGGACTCATCCTCAGGTCACAGTCCCTCTGACTTGAGTTCCCTCTGGCACTCCAGCTGTTGCCATTCAGTACAGTGCACAGGAATGGCAGTGAGGTGCTGTTTGCCAGCCCAAGCTGTTCCCAGGCATAGCCAAACACGATCATAACGAGGAGAGCAAACAGCAAAAGAAAAAGCAGCTGCTAAGAGTACTGGACTGTAAAGCAAGCAGGCCTTGTGACAAGCATGGGAGCATACCAATTAGCAACTAACCAGCTGTAGCATCTATAAATTTGGTTTAGCACTCCAGTTCCTGATGATGACAGATTTGATTGTTTGTGCCTTGTTTTGGGTGCCAAAAGACCTGTGGCTTAACTTTGCAGGCAACTCAGCATCACATAGATGTTCACTCACTGTTCCCAGGTGGTATGGGAGAAAGAACTGGAAATGTAGGAGTGTGGGAAGTCATTGGTTGGTATCAGGATTGATCTCCTCTGATCATCTTAGTGCCCTCCTCTGGACCCGCTCCAAGAGAATCACAGAAACACCAAGGTTGGAAAAGGCCTACAAGATCATCCAGTCCACCCTGTAACCAATAGTTCTCACTAAAGAGCTCTACATCCTCCTTGTGCTGAAGGGTATTGGGAAGCCAGGCAAATGCCATCACTCCCAATGCCTCCCCATCTTGCCTGTCTTTACAGAGAAAAAAAATGTCTCAAATAAAACCATGACATTACATATATTGCTTCAGCATCTCAACTGAGAGCTCTCTGTCCAAGGGTGCTGCCTGCTGCGTAGGGCCACAGATGAGAACTATGGCCAGGAACAGCAGCATCCAGCACTGCTCTGGTACCTGCTGTTTCCCTGCCCTCAGGGTAGGTATAGCACTCCAGTGGTGCTATTGCATTTGTCTTGATTATCCTAGAGGACCTGCTGAGCAGCAGTTTGGTGGGAGATGAAGGTGCTCTGATGAGATTGCATGGACTTCTGGCAACCAGAACTGACTTGTGAAGGGCTGCATAGCATTTTTAGAGTTTGAAGCTGCTAATGCCATTTCAACAGCCAAATAAGTCGCTTGCTTCCAGGAGTCACTTCCACTTTCCACAGTGAAATTTATTGATGGAAGTTTGTGTTCTTGTCAGGCATACTTCTATCCTTATCTTTGGTCTTGACAAGAAATCTTTGAACCGTTGGAGACTTACAGCATCATTTCCTGGTGCTGACATCCTGTTCCAGTTGTATGCAAGGACTGTGTTTATTTAAGAATGTACATAACTTGTTTCAGGGCGAGGTGTTGTGCCCTAAGACCAGATCCCAGTGTTTCAAAAGCTGTGCCTCTGGCTGTGCCCCTGCTGCTCTCTCTGTAATCTCTGTGAGACAAGGCAGGATGTCTTTGTCAGAACCAGGTGGAAGAGAGCAGGGTAATTCTGGCTGCAGTCCTGCAGTCTGTCACTGTTGTCAGACACAGACCTGGCTACTGTGAAAGAATGCTGTCTGCCTTGACAGCAGAATTTTCCTTGCATTTAAATAAAAGCATCTGGACTTGCAAACTGGCATTTGCAGGTCTTTCAGTCAGTCCATGTGCCAGGTAAACATAAGGCCATTTGCTTTTTGGAGCTTTGTCAGGAGCTCGCCTTCCTGTAATCTCAACAGGAGACTGCTGTTGGGTACCTTGTGCAAAATATCTGAGGTTAGGTTGGCAGAATGTTAGTAGGGCCTGAGGCTGAACTTTACCTGCCTGACTGCTGTTTGTGAGAGGCCAAGAGGCACCAAGCAGGAATGTATTTGCTTTTATAGTTAAAGGGTTCTGGAACTGGAGGGGTAAGATCCTTGATTTTGTTTCAGTGACAATCTGCTGACTGTTCTGACTGTGTTTAAACTTCTTGCAGGTGAGAAGGGAATTGGCAAAACAACTGGGAAGAAGTTGTGTTACAAAGGCACTACGTTCCATCGTGTGGTTAAAAACTTCATGATTCAGGGTGGGGACTTCAGTGAAGGTAAAATGTGTTCTGTGGAGCAAACGTTATCATCCCTGTGGTTGTAATGTCACTTTAGAATACAGCATGTAAACATTAAAATGCCTTGAAAGTATGATCGTTGGTTTTCTGTTTCTTTGTTAATTGCTGAAATTCTAACATGTTTCAGCTGACGTTGATGCTTTAGAAAGAATTCTTAAAGAAGAAAGCAGCCTTGCTGGAGTTGATAACAGTAGAGCAGAATTCCAATCCAAACTCTTGTGTTTTCATGTCAAAAGATCTTCCTTGTACACTGTATCTTGAGGTCTTATAAACTGATCTAACATGTATAAACTATAACTGATAAAATGTGTGTGGATGACTACCTTGTGCTGATGGTCAAGTGGAAGTAAAGGTAACGTACTGCTTGCTCATCTCATTGTGGTGGTCTCTCTGAGCAGGACAGGATTGGTGGTGATGCCTACTGTTGGCCTTTTTGCTTACTGTTGCATTTTCTGTTGCTGCTGCTTCAGCAAACAGCAGGGAGAATTCGCCTTTGGAGCCTCGCTTCAGGCTTTCTCGTGTTCAGAGGCACAAAAGCAATCTTCATTTTCAATATTCTGAGTGTCAACAAGATAATGAACTGCATAACGAACGGTCCTGCCTTTTAATTAAGGGCCTTATGCTTAGCTATTAGTAACTGGCTGGAGTCTCCTGGTGTGTTACAAATTGGCACGCGTTATGCACAGCGCTTGTTATAAACAGAACAAAAGGTTCAATTTGTGCTTTTTAATGCACAGGTAATGGAAAAGGAGGTGAATCTATTTATGGTGGCTATTTTAAAGGTAAGAGCAAGTACATCTTTACAGATTCTCAATTCCGTTCTGAGAAGTCTTGATTCCCAAGATACTTAATGAAAAGAGGTCTACTTATAGATCACCTTTTGCATGAAACTAATATTGCATGAGAATTATTTTTATATGCATGACTTTCAGATAGTTTTATTTTGTAATATTTAACTTTAACTGACAATTAATTAAGGCTAACATTATTGGTTAAACATGACTTTCAGCATGGAGGTTAGGCAACTTTATTCATGAATAAACTCCTATCTTCCTGCCTAAAACTGTCAACATATTCTTTTGTTTATAGAGAATGTGGTCTTTTGCAAAATGAAAAGGTAAGAGACAAAAGCTCAGTAACACAAATTCAAACTCTGTTCCCTTGTACCTTCCCTAGTAAATACATAGACAACTGATACATCCGTTTGTAGATGGATATCTGTGTTGCTTGGAGAAATGAGGAGTTCTGTGTCTAACCTTTCTGAGGGTTAATGACTTATTCTGAGAGAACACTGGCATAATTTTCAGTTCTAAACAATTTTTTCTTCTTTTGTTAACGTCCCTTTTCTCCCCTTCCCTACTGAAGGTTTGTATTTTTGGTGTTCCTGTTGAAGTGTTTGTTTATATGCTACACAAGCTGCTTTCCTTGCAAAGAGTTTTTAAATGTATATTTACCTCTTTTTAAAAACAGTTGTTGGAAGGAAAATGGTGAGTTTATGAAGTATTTATTTAAGGACGTAACATTCTTTCTTGCTACAAGAACAAGAAACCAGATAGTTACTGTGGTATTGAAGTGTTAATAAGATGTTCCTAGGGTTTCTTTCTAAAGAGTGCACTAAAGGTGGTAAGTTCTAAACATGCAGTGTTGTGCTTTGATATATAACCTTAAAAATAACAGCCTCTGATGCCCAAACTGTAATTTTTACCTTTGAAAAGGAGCTTCAGAACAATATCTGGTTTTGTACTATGCCGTGCAGCCAGAAGTGCTCTTTAATTCCCTGCAATATAAAATGCACGTGAAGTTCAGTCTTAATTGCCTTTACGTTGAGGTTGAAGGAAGGATGTATTCCTTAGTTCCTCTTTCTGGTAGTCAGGTTTTGTTTATTCTCGTGTGTTCTGAGGCACCCAGCTTGGAATGGCTGGGTTGCTCTCTCACAGTTCCGTGCCAGGGAAATGGCCCTTTCACTGGGTGCCCATACATAACAGTGTGGTGTACATGAGGGCTCGTTTTGGGATCACCTCACATCCATTTTCATTAGAGATGTCCACGGCATTGCTGTAACTTGCTGTATAAAAGAATGTTTTCTGTCTCATGAGTGTTTCTACTGTAACTTTCGAGAGGCTCAATTAGATTTCTGTTCTGTTTCCAACCTGTTCAAGTTTCTTTAGCAGCGGAAGAATTTCTCCTTGTAGTAGCCATTAGTTACTAAGAAAATCTGACTGGCGTTCCTTGTCAGGGAAAATCTGACAAACATATTTTTTCTTCAAACAGATGAAAACTTTATTCTCAAACATGACAGAGCGTTCCTTTTGTCAATGGCAAACCGAGGGAAACATACCAATGGTTCCCAATTTTTCATGTGAGTAGATGTGATCTGACAGTTGAGCTTTTGTTAAACAGAGGAGCGCTGTTCATGAGAAAGATGGTATTGCTAAATTATCTCTAACAATGTTACCCACCTTACTGTGAATAGGGTTGAGTGGATACCTGCAGAGCTCTAATAGGAAACAAGTTACCACGAGTCGCATGGGGCATTCCTTTGGGTTAGAAGTGGGTCCTATGGGATTGCTCCTTGTTTTTTACCCTGAAATTATGGCTTTGCTATTGTGCTCAGTGTCCAAAAACAGATTCTTTGGTTTTGTGTTGTACCAACCAAATCTTCACACAGTGCTTATGGATTACAATGCTGAGCATTGTATGTAGGAAGCAGCAAGGTCTGTGATAGAGATGGCCTGTATGTTTTTGCATATGCTATTTTAAATGATTTCCTTTGAGAGACAAGGGGTTTTTTTATTAATTATTTCATTCTGGGAAGGGGGACCTCATTTAGTTTTGTTGTTTCTCTTCTGGAGTTTCTGTTCCTGGCATAGTTTTTTTTCTATACTGTTGAATAATCCTGTTCACATGTGTACACTAATTGTCACATCCCAGTGCTGTGGAAAATAATGTGCTGAAAATCAAGTTTTCCCACATAACCTTAAACAGACAGAAATGAATCCATTGCAGCATATAGCCACATCCTGTTCAATTGCAGAGCACACGTTTCTGTCATGGATGAAAGCTCAGGCGTGATGGCAGTCAGGCTCTTCTGATTGAAGATTCTGGGTCCAGTATTGAACAGTTTGTATTTGGGAAGATGTGGTTCATAACTTTGGGCTGGTGCTGAGAACTTTCATTAAGAAACAATGCTGGTGTTTTCAAAGTTAAATTCTGCTGTAGTTGCTTAGCTGTAAAAAGCTCTTTTTCTTTGCCATCTTTCTTGGGGGATGAGTGAATGGCGCTTCACTGTCTTCAGTAAAGGAGAAAATTCTCCTGAAGAGTATTCCTTTTCTTTTTGTTGCCTGAAAAAGAGCTTCAGTATGACACAATGAAGTTCAGATAAGAGGCATTCTTAGGTCTCTTCCTAAAGAATGCCCTAAAAATGGAAAATTAATAAGAAACCTAAGGGAGAGTCTTTCACAGTTCCTACTGTTCTGACTTTCCAAAGAGAGAAAATCACGTCGAGAGCTTCTTTTCTGTTAGCCTCAAAGCAACTTTTAGGTGATATGCCTCCTTACAGCAAATCTGAATGAAGATATATATATGTGTATATGTATATATACACACACTAATATGAGGAACAACCTCTGTACAAAAAAGAACCCGTGGTTTCAGCAGCACTCTGCAGAGCACTGCGTTGCTGTTTATCACTTGATGGTGCGTCTTTTGATTCGCGTGTCGCAGTTTTCCATTTTTAAGCTTATCTGAACAAAATACATGAAAACTTTATGGTGCTACATCTATCAAGAAGCTATCATTTGAGGGCTCTAAAGTTTCTTTTTGCTCCTGCATTTAATTCAGATGTCTTCCTCTTTCACTTCTAGCAGTAGGCTCAGCTTACTTGCTCAATTAAATTTAATGTACTTAATGGACATCCTGTCTCTCACCATGCAAAGGAACATCCTAAGCTTGTGTTTGATGCTAAATTATAATTTACATAGGACAGGAAAATGTGAACAGTGCTTGAGAGTGCTTTCATTAAAGTGAAATGATTTTAAAAGGTACTTGTATCCTTTGAAAATTCTTTCTCTTGGCTGTCCTGTAGCACATTCAAATGTCACCAGTTTACCTTAGGGTTACACAAATGAATCGTATGCAAGAGTAAATTCCCAGATCAGTGAGATTAAGGGGCTGCTGTGCAAGTCTTTAATGCACACTGTAGTGCTGGAGACTTGTGTGAACCTTTTGACCAGGGCTTTTTAATGCATGCAGTAAATGTTTGAGGTATCCTTGTGTACTTCAGGGCATGTAGATGCAGTGGACCATCCACAGGCCACCCAGCACTCCTGGAGCAGCAGCTGGAAGCCAGCAGGGGATAGCACAGGGCTCAGGATGGCAATTGAGCATTGTCCCTAGCTGAGGTGGCTTCACACTGATGGGCAGCAAAAGTCCACCACACCGTGCTGTTACTGCCCTTCCCCAACTAAACAGGGAGAGAAAACATGAAGAAAAGCTTGTGGGTTGAGATGAAGACAAGGAGATCACCTGTCAATTAACCATCAGAGGCAAAACAGATTCTGCATGAGGGAGATGAACATAGTTTATTGACTACTGTCAGTAGACTAGAGCAGTGACAACTAAAAGAACCCCTTCCTCCTACTCACCCCCTTCCTCCTCGTGGCAGAGGAGCAGAGTCAGTCCATAATACCTGGCCTCTCCCACTCCTTCATGTTTGCTCTCTGCCCCTGCTGCACATGGAGACGTGCTCTGTGTGGTGCCCATGGGCTGCACAGAATCACAGAATGGCCAGGGTTGGAAAGGACCTCAAGGATCATGAATCTCCAACCCCCCTGCCACATGCAGGGCCACCAACCTCCACGTTTAATGCTAAACCAGGCTGCCTGGGGCCCCATCCAGCCTGGCCTTGAACACCTCCAAGGACGGGGCATCCACAGCCTCTCTGGGCATCCTGTTCCAGTACCTCACCACTCTCTGGGTAAAGAATTTCCCCCTGATGTCCAACCTAAATCTCCCCTCCTTCAACTTCAAACCATTTCCCCTCGTCCTACAGGTATCAACCCTTTCAAAGAGTTGATTCCCGTCCCCTCTGTAGGCTCCCTTTAGGTATTGAAAGGGACAGGGATATTGAAAGCACAGGGATAGCCTGCTCTGCCATGGGCCTTTCCTGGGCTGCAGTGAGCTGGAGCACCTCCCAGAGCTTCTTCTCTCTTATTTCTCACTCCTCTCTCCCATCTGCAGTTGCACAGCCATTTTTATTTCTTAAACCTGCTCTCCCAGAGCACAATCCAGTATTGCTTATGGCTTAGCTCTGCCCAGCAGCAGGTTGCTTTTGGAGCAGCTGGAGCTGGCTCTGATCTTGCATGGAGCAGCTGCTGGGCTCTGCTCGCAGAGAGCAGCTCCCCACCACCAAAACCTTGCCTAACACATTTGCAGATGCCTTTTTTAATATCATCAAATTTGTGCATTTAAGCTGAATGCCAGCATTGGCCTTCGATGCAGCAGCTTCTGTGGGAGTGATTACAGCACCCATAGGAGAGTGCCCACGATGGCAGATGTGCATACATACAGTCAGTGGGGAGGTCAGGTTCATTTTCAATAACTTGATCTGTGAAAAATAGGGATGGATGGTGAAATGTAGACCAGCAGTCTGTATTGGTATATACTTCTTTTTTTAAAATGGTAGAGCTTGGTTTCTGCTTCATAGCATATAGTGTTTGAATTTCAAGATTCAGAGTAGGAGACAGCTGTTAAAGATATCTAGTCAGATCTAGATTCTGACTTAAGACTTGAAAAAGTAATCTATTAAAGCAGTTATTCTTGCTTGCTGACATTTGTGTGGTTTCTTTAGGGAATGTACTGTGTGTTCCTACAGATTTTCTTTAATAACATAACTTACTTCCTTTAGTGGTGTACTTTAAACTGAAATTCAAATGTTATTCTCAAAGGAATGCCCAATTATTCAGCAGTTTATCATGAGGAAAAATATCTTCAAATGTGTACGTGCCAAATGTAGCAAATAGGGAATGCAAGTAAGTTAATTTGTAAGTCTTTGTTCAGCTGAGACTGAAATAATAGAGGGAATCTTGAATATATGTTTTTATTTGCTCATCAAATGCACTTTCCCTGCTTACTGCACCAAATGTCGTCAGCAATAACTGTCTTTGTAGGAAGTAATCAGGCAGTGAATCTCCTTGACAGACTGCATTAGCAAACTGGTCACCACGGGACTGATAGTCATTAAAACGTGATCTGTGGTGGTCAGTTCTGCAAGTGAAGGGAAGTTAGGAAGTGTGAGTGAAGAGCTGGGAGAATGAATGCGAGGCATCGCTAGGCAAGGTGCAGAACTAGAGCAAAGGGAGCACATATATCATAGAATGGGCTGGATTAAAAAGGAGCACAGTGCTCATCCAGCTCCAACCCCCTGCTGTGTGCAGGTCACCAACCAGCAGCCCAGGCTGCCCAGAGCCACATCCAGCCTGGCCTTGAATGCCTGCAGGGATGGGGCATCCACAGCCTCCTTGGGCAACCTGTGCCAGTGCCTCACCACCCTCTGGGGGAAAAACTTCCTCCTCAGATCCAACCCAAACCTCCCCTGTCTCACTTTAAACCATTCCCCCTTGTCCTGTCACCATCCACCCTCACAAACAGCCGTTCCCCCTCCTTTATACGTTCCCTTCAAGCACTGGAAGGCCACCATGAGGTCTCCCCAGAGTCTTCTCTTTTACAGGCTAAACAAGCCCATATCAGAAGTGCTATGTTTGATGCTCATTGACTATTCCTACTTAGAGAGAGCAGGTGGGTTGAAAGGAAAGGGCTTAGCTACAGCAGGATTGCTTTTCATGGATACATGCTTCAGATATGCCAGGTCTGTTCATTCGTGTCTGTAGAAGCACTCCCTGCTCTGACAGAATGCATCGTGCTGAAATGATGAGGGATGCACAGGCTGTGTCTTTCTGTGCTGTTAGAGTTGGAGTTTCAATTCTCTTTAACCAAAGGCATCTTTTATAGTGTTTATTGCATGATTGTGTTGAAAACAGTTTTAAGGCAGTTGTTTATAAACAAGCTTTTGTTATTTTCAGGTAGCAGCACTGCTTATTTTTCTGTGAATTAAGTTTTTTCAGAACCATCAGTTACCCAAGAAGTGTTCTGAAAACCATAGTATGTTTATCCTTTCTTTTTTTAACTACCCCATTGCCATGTTGATGTACAGATTGGGAATTTCGTGGATGAGGGTAGTTTGATAAGAGCATCCTAGAATCACTTCCTTTTTCCCTGTACTCCAGTACCCGTTTTGGACTGTTGCTGAAAGTTTTATTATTATTTATTACTGTGGTTAATGGGAGTGAGGGGGTACCTGTAGAGCTTCATACAAATGCAGCTTATGTCTTCATGTCACTTCTTTAGTTAGAGCTGGAGGGATGGTAAGCCTGTTCTGGGGTGGTCAGCACAGAGCTGGGTTCCTGTTGGGTGATGTTTTTGCAAGCTCCTCATTGAGCTGATCTGATGAAGGTAGCTTGGCTCTTTTGAGCACCTCTTGTGCCTGTGGTGCTGCCCAACGTGATAGAAAGACTGTAATACAAAATAAGTGCAGCTCTCTTGAAAGTGATTATAGAAAGTACTATAAAATTTGTGAGTCTGTTGGCTTTCTGAGTGCTCATACTCACCTTTGCTTCTCTGAAGTGATGCAAAACCAACTGAGCTGCGTTTACTACAGGAGCAGAAATGTGAACGTGCAGAATGAATAAAGAAGTATAGAAGCATAAAGAAAGCAGTGGGAGTCAAATAAGTAGCCAACTTCTTAGTTGTCATTTGGAAGCTTTTGAGAGTAATTAAATTACTGCCCTGTTGTTTAGTTGTGTGTTAGCTTCAGTAATTGAGGGATACGTTCCTTCTGCAACATAGAGTCCCACGTTTTGTTCCTTACCAGCTCAAGCAGTGTTGAGTTCTTGCCTTTGTGTTCAAAAGACCTTTATTTAAAACTTGAGGCTGTTTTGATATGTGCGATTCCCACCTCGATATTGAGATCACTGTCAGTGTGATTGTCTCCCAAGCTCCTTCTCCTTGCTCAAAACTAAATAACCTTTTGGTTCAAACATTCTTCAGACGTGTGGTGTGCCTCGTTACCGAATAGAAACCAACTGACCTCTTTGAAATGCTAAATGATAGATGAAACCAACAATGAGGATTTTACAACTGATTTCTGAATGTCACTGACTTCTCATAAGTGCCTCATATCTGAAGGTTTCCAGTGTGCCACACCGGGCATTTTTCTGAGCAGCCGTCCCTTTTTTCTTTCTTGCAGATGAAATAGCTTTCAGCTGATTGCTGTACACTTTACAGAGATACAAAAGTGAACAAAATCAATGGAAGGTGCTGATTTTGCAGTATTTTTGACCAACAGTGCTGTTTGTGCACTTGGCACGCAGGCAGGTCCCAGGGGTTGGATTGAGGCTGACGTGGAGGTGCAGCCCATGCAGAGGCATTCACTGGATGCTTGTGTTTGTAGTATGTTACAAAGGGATCATTTCAATTTCTCCCTGCTTAGATGTGTGGATAATTGCTGATGCGTTTTTAAATCATTGCTGCCCTTCAGAATTGCACCAGCATCAGATGGTGTGTTTTTTCCCCTTAGTGTCTGCAGTGTTCTTGTTCCTCTACACTTCTAAGCACAAGCTTCCAGTAACCATTCATGTATTTGAGAGAAAGCAGCTTTTCTCTTTTTATACACAACTTTCATAGTACAAGGAAGATGTAAGCTAACTATGGATTGTATAAAGCTGTGGGCTTACCAACACCTTTCATTTGTCCATCAAAACAGTTAAGGGCCTCCATCCTATGAAGCACACGCATAGAATCATGGCCTGGGTTGCAAAGGAGCACAGTGCTCATCCAGCTCCAACCCCTGCTGTGTGCAGGTCACCAACCAGCAGCCCAGGCTGCCCAGAGCCACATCCTGCCTGGCCTTGAATGCCTGCAGGGATGGGGCATCCACAGCCTCCTTGGGCAACCTGTGCCAGTGCCTCACCACCCTCTGGCTGAAAAAATTCCTCCTCATATCCAACCTAAACCTCCCCTATCTCACTTTAAAACCATTAGGGCTTGGTTCCATGGAGCATTTGAACACAGATGTAACCACCAGCAGACCCACTGAAATCAGTTATTTTGCTTAAAGTTGTGCATGTGTTCTAACACTTGTGCTGGATTGAGCCTTTCGGAGGGGATTGGGAGGATTCTAACAGTTTGTCTTTCTCATAGTTTATGCAAGGAAGTTATTTCTGCAGTTTTGTGTTGTTCAAGAGAACTGACTGTAGTTTTCAAAGTGCCTTGTATTCTAAAGAAAATTTAGAGCCCTCTTTTTAGGCATCCTTGTTCTGCATACAACTTGATTAATATTAATTTTAAACTTGTATTTAATAAAACATAGACTCAGTTTTGTCTGAAAATGTGTTACAATTTATTTCTGCCATTTTTGTGTAAAATTTACAGAAACAGTGTTACACCGTGCGCTCCAAAGGTAATGTCTCATTCCTCTAAGGCTGTGTCCTTTCTCTCTTTCTGTTTTTAATCTTTCTTGTTTTGCTGATCATATTGTTATGTGCATTGAGTCCTTTGTCAGGCCTCAGGTTCTTGGGGGGGTGGGCAATAACACGCTTTTACCAAAAAGATGCTCTTCTCTTCAGCAGTACCTTAAACCAATTTGCATTACTTTGGATGAATAGAGATATTTGTCCTTCTGCAGGTAACATGGAAAATAGTAGCTGTTGGTCAGTGTTTCAAATTATCAAGCTTCTGTAGAGAAATGTTTTAATGAAATACTATTTCTTGGGAGGAAATGATCATAGCTCTAAGCTTCTGTAGTGCCAAAGCAGCAAGTGGGTTTTGTCCTGATGAAGTTTTATGGTCGAGGTATAAATGTTCAAGAAGTGAAAGGTGCAACGTAGGCAAAAAGCTTTGACATGCTCTAATAAAGTGCAAATGTTTGCAGGCTGATTGCAGTGCTACGACCCTGGCCTTGAGATGAGAGAACGTTCAATAGAACAATGAGGAGTTTGGATTCTGCTTCCCTTTGGAAGTGATCTAAGTTGCCAATCTCCTTTTGCATCTAGAAAGTTTCTTGGGTGATGCTTTTCTGTGTGCTTTCCCATCCTGAGCAGGCAAATGAGAAGAATTCTGTCCATTTTTTCTATCAGCACAATGAAAAGCTAAGTGGCTTTACTAGTGACCAAGTTTCCTTGTCTATCAAGGGTGAAGTGAAGATGAGTTCAGTAGTTTGCTCAATTGGTCTCCAAGTGCTGCTGCAGCACGGCAGGAGCACATTGCTCCAGCATTCATATCAGGAGTGTCTCAACTTGTTGCTTTCTGTAGCTGATTCCAAATGCTGAGTCTCATTTACTGTTGCTTTCACTGAAGTAACCCACTTCTATCACTGCTTTGAACTCCGCTTTATAATTATGCCTGCTTACAGTGTTCACTTAACAGCAGGTCATTAATGCAGTTAACTTTGCTGATAGAACTTCCAAAGCTGGGAGAATGTTTCATTTTGCAGCAAGATGCTGAATTAGTGAGGGAAAAACAAGGAATGCCCTTACTGCTGAGAAATGAAATGTCTTATAGCATCTCTTTGCCTGCATATGAGCTGAAGAGGTTCTCTGTAATATTAGGGTTATGGAAGCAGGTCTGGTTGGTGTTTGGAGCCTAAAGAAATCAGAGTGTAAGCACTTCTGATGGGCACTTCCACCTTTTGCATGCATGCCAGCACTGCAGCATCTTGTCAGCTAATAGTTGAAAGCAGAGTGCAGCCACGTGCTTGAACCCTGTTTTATTATAGCAGTGAAAGCCTGACTTCATTGTACCAGGTCTGTGTTACTGTAAATGTAGAAGCATATATGCCCTGTGATATTTTTATGCTGGGGAGAGTAATACAGTGGAAGGAAGCCAGAAAGACAAGGCAGTGCCTGGGGAAGAGAGGAGGAGAACACTTTCCAATAAGAATTTGAGATATAAATGATTCTGATGAAGTCATTTGTTTTCCTTTTTAGAGAATAGTACAGAGAAGTACCAAGTCGTAGTGTTACTATCAAAAAGTTGAATCTTAAGATATCTTTACAGATGCACAGCCTTGAATATTCCAATTTAAATCCAGCCTGGAAGATTAGCGGAGCTGCCTCCGATGCCTATTAGCAGAGTGCACAAAATGTAATGCAGTGCCATTTCCACTTCAGGCTAGAAACAGCTAAATGTGGGAACTGAAAAGTAGGGAGCAAGTCTGAATTTATCACAGAAGTAAGCTGCAGGGTACCACGTAATGTCTGCTTGCACTGTGCTGCTGTTGCTTTTGGGAAGCCTGTGAGCTCACCAGCTGAAGTACTTTATTCCTGACACTTAAAGCCAGTGCTGCTTTGATTCCTGAGTCTTGAGGCCAATCAAGTAGGTGGAAAGTAATAGGGAAAAAAAAAAAAGCAAAAGCAAAGAATCTATCACATATGAGAACTCTGTTTTCCCATTTCTTTTTTAAATAAAACTGGCTCCAAAGTGACCGTGTAGCGTAATAACAATTAGAGAAACATGTAAATTTCATTAGTTGCCCAATATTTATTTGCAAGTTGTCTTTTTTTGTGATTAAAGATGTTAGTGATATTTAAATGTGTATTTTAAGAGGCTTTAATATTTTTTGTTGCATGCATAAAATGGTATTTGGTACAACTTTCGAGTTAAACTTTAAGCAAATTTTGATTAAAAGATTAAAGAAGGGCCTGTGTCTATAAGCTGTAAAATTTTTTTTAATTCCATGTATGTAACTGAATTTTTTCACTATTTTGTCTTACCTTCACCTTTTTTTTTTTCCCCGTGCCATTCTTCTCTTACTTCATCTGAATCCTTGATTTTTATTTTACCATCTTACCATCTTGCTGTTTGTCAAACAGAACAACAAAACCTGCTCCTCATCTTGATGGGTAAGAATATTTCCATTTCTTCAATGATGAATGAAGTTGGGATTACTGATGAGTCTTCATGCGTTGTTTTGGAAGTAGAAGCATAGAATCATTGAATGGTTGGGTTGGAAGGGACCTCAAGGATCACAAAGCTCCAACCCCCCACCAATGCAGGGCCACCAACCTCCACATTGCACAGCAGCCCAGGCTGCCCAGGGCCCCATCCAACCTGGCCTCCAACACCTCCAGGGATGGACGGGGCATCACAGCCTCTCTGGGCAGCTGTTCCAGCACCTCACCACTCTCATAGCACACAACTTCCCCTGACATCCAACCTCCAGCTGCCCTTCCTTAGCTCCAAACCATTTCCCTCGTCCTGCTGCCATCTCCCCTTTCACAGAGCTGACTCCCCTCCTGGCTGCAGGCTCCCTTCAGGCACTGCAGGCTGCACTGAGGTCACCCCGCAGCTTCTCTTCTCCATGCTGAACAAGCCCAGCTCCCTCAGCCTGTCTTTGCAGGGAGGTGCTGCAGCCCTCTGAGCATCTTTGTGGCCTCCTCTGGACCCTCTCCAACAGCTCCCTGTCTTTCTTGCACTGGGGGCCCAGACCTGAACACAGTACTGCATATGGGGCCTCAAGAGGACAGAGTAGAGAGGGACAATCACCTCCCTGTCCCTGCTGGCCACCCCTCTTTTGATGGAGCCCAGGATATCATTTGCTTTCCGAGCTGCAAGTAGACATCAATAGGAAAACAAATTCTTAGTTCTGTGAAAGATGATGTAGTGAAAAAAGATGGAAAATTTTAGTTTGAGTTCTATAAAAATTCCAAACGACAACTTGTTTCCTAAAGCTTGGAAGGCCCAAAACCTTCCATACTCATTTGTTTAAACCTGATTGCTGCCCTTAGCCCACAATTCAAGATACAGGTAATTGCAAGAAGGAAAAAGAAATGTGGTATGGTAAAACAGAATTAGAGATTCATGAATTGTAACTGTGCCTTCAGAGTTGGTGGGAATGTGCGTGCTGAGTTTGCATAGACCTATAAATGCTTCATCTCTGGGGAAAGTGACAATTTGTGACCATCTTTGTTTCATCTGCCTGATGCTCAGCATCTCAAAAACAGAAGGCTTGGTTAGAATTGATGACCTGTTATGGTGCCCATTAGAAGAGAGTGTGATGGCGTCAAGTTGAAGCAAAAAACACCTCCTGATCATGTTGCATGAAATCTTAGCCTTGCTGTCAATGTAAAAGTAATTTGAAAAAGCCTTGTTTGTAAATGTAATATTTTTAAGAGCCAGGTGAGCCCAGTGAAGCTGAATGTTTCTGGTTGAGAATGACTTTTTAAACCTGAAATTGATTGGAAGAAGATTACGGCGATATATAAACGCTTGTACTTCCCAACTGTTTTACTTCTGCAGCGTGCACGTTGTCTTTGGACTGGTTATTTCTGGTTTTGAAGTAATAGAACAAATAGAAAATCTGAAAACTGATACTGCCAGCAGACCCTATGCAGATGTACGAGTCATTGACTGTGGGGTGCTTGTTACAAAACCAGCAAAAGATGGTAAGCATACATAAGCTGAAGTTAATTGAATGTTGACATTGTTTTCAGAGTCTAAAAACTATGCCAGCATCTAGAAATCACTGTGGTGAATCTATCAAGCCTTAATTTGGCTCTAACGAGTCTTCAAAATTTAGAGGTTGGAGGAGGCAAGCAAGGCACGGGAAAGGAGGTTCTTTGACCTCAGTCTTTGTGGCTCAGAACTTGCATGTCTGCTTCCTCTTCTCCTTAATTAATCTTTGTGGTTAATGTTACATACTCGAAAAGTAATTACAAGTTATTTTTCAGAGCTTGAAAGATAGTTGTCCAATCAGATGCTTTTCTTGATGGGGGATCTTGTGCTGTTTCTGAAGGCTTATTTTAATGTTGGAAGGGTCCTTTAAAGGTCATCTTGTCCAACTCCCCAGCATCTGAGTGTTAACTTTGCTTACTGACCTCCAATGCACACCTTTAAGGTGCTTTGGCTTTTCAGTGGTGCATCTCGCATGGCAGAAGTTGTGCATAGCAAGTCTTACAGTTCACTTGATAGCAAACAAAGGGATTTTTTTACAACCATCCTTATTGGAAAATTGATATTTTATTGATAGTGCTTTATGCTGGATGCAATCAAATTCATGCAGTTGTCCTTTAGCAGACCTCGCTGTGAAAGGTTTACAGGCTGAGCTCCTGGAGAAGTATGTGCTTTTACATATATGAAGTTGTGTACCTGTATGTATGCACGCTACATGTACACACTGTACGTTTAAAATGTCTGTTTCTAAGCTTTGGAGAAGAAGAAGAAAGTGTGTTCTGACTCAGAAGCTTCAGACTCAACCTCCAGTGGATCAGACCCCTCAGAAACATCATCTGAAAGTGAAGCTGAAGATGAAAGAAGCAGAAGAAGAAAGCGTAAAAGAAGAGCTAAAACCAAACAGTCAAGAAAACGGAGGAAGGAAGAGAGGAAGAAAGAGGATCTGAGGAGCAAGCGAACCTCAAACCAAAGATGGTGACTAGTTTCTTACATTTAAGGATTTCAGAGAAATTTGAGGAACTTTCCTTTTTCATGAACTACTCATGCAATTAATATGAAGGTGCTTTTATTCTGGAAGTTTGGGCTCCATCCTTCCATGCATAAAATGAGTTAATGACAGCATTTTGTTTTCGTAGTCGTCTGTAGCTCGTTTCATCACGTGGGCTTATTTTGGGAATTCACCCTGGAAAGTGGTGCTTGTCAGTTGATTCTGAATTATAACCTTGCTTTTTTCCTCTTAGCAGCCTTTCTGACAAGAGCGACGTAACAGAAAAAACAGTGGATGTCAGCACCAAGAGGGATAAACCTGTGGTACGTCCTGAAGAAATTCCCCCAGTGCCTGAAAATAGATTCTTGCTGAGAAGGGATGTGCCTGTTGTCAGTACAGAACCTGAAACGTAAGGAGTTATCTAATTATGTTGACTTTATTGCTGGGAATTATGCATAGAACTTTGCCACTAACGATGCGTTTCCAGAACTTGTAGCAAATAATGGGTGTAGCATCAGGATTTCCAAGTGAGGTACTTTAAGCATCCTACTTTGAGTATTTTGGTGGTAGTTTCTTTTCAGAATGGTTTGTTTTTATGTTTGGTTGGTTTTTTTTCAGTGAAACCTCATGAATTCATTTCACTGAACCATAGGGATCATGCATGTCATGGCTTTAAACTCAATTACAAACACTGCATACATTGTTCACTAATTCAAGAGGAAATTTTGCAACAAAAACCACAGCAAATATGTCATTGCAAGGCAAGCCTTGAATGGGAGAAGTGATTTCTCAGCTTCTTAGACTAACCTGGTGTAGGGAACCTGCTTTGCCAGGGGGTTGGACTCGGTGATTTCTGGAGGTCCCTTCCAACCCCTACAATTCTGTGATTCTGTAAGTGGAGAAAATTTAGTGCAAATTCAGTGAAACGGTCTTAGAAGCAGTCTCTAATTTAGAGAAGAGGAGACTGTTGTTGTGAAAACAAAGTCATGCATTCCCAACTTACTTTCTGTTTGGTGTGCCTGATAAATTGCAATTTTTTTCTCCCAAATTTCTTCATTTTTGAATTCATGTGGGCACAGTCCTGGACATATCTAAAAACTGTAATCAATTTTTTATTTTTTCTTTAAATTTGGTTAACTATGTAATCTTTTGTGAGCTTTTTCTTGAGGTGTTACACGTGTTTTCAAAGCCTTATCTGCTTCTTTCAAGGATGTTGTACAACGTCTGTAAAAAGGAGTGCTGAATTACCTCTTGTTGCTGAGGAAGGAAACAAAGCTTTAGAACTTGTGGGTTGTCTGAGCTGCCATTCCCTGTGCTGAAGCATTGTTGTGTAACAGCCAAGATCCTGAAGCTATTCTTTCTGTGTCCTCTTAACAATTTGTTCACCAAACACAAGCTGGCCTACTGAGAAAATCCACTTCAACAGAGTACTGTGCAAGTTTGTCATTAGCATTTATTTATCAGGAGAAGAAATCAGATCTGCTGAGCAGGCTGGAAACCAGTGTATGTGTTGGTTTGCCTTTACTCTGCAGATCTGTGTGTGGCTGACTTCTTGGAATGCCATTCACTAAATTCTTAGTTCTACCCTATCAAAGTAGGCTATTAAGAAATTTTGCATGATTAATATCAGTTTTAGGTTGAAATTAAAATGGTTACGTGTGGGTTTATTTGTGTAAGCTCATATTTTATTAATTTATGTAGGAAGCTTCTTGATGCTACTCCAGTTCTAACTGACCAGAAACCATCAGTGTCTAAATCTGGACGAAAAATTAAAGGAAGAGGCACAATAGTATGTGATTTCCTTTTTTCTTTCCTCTCATCCAGAGTATTTTCTCTGACCTTGAACTTTGAATTTCCTTTAAGGCTCTGTGTGATGTTGCTGCTGTTGTTGACTGCTGTAGATTCAAGCTTAGACGTTTGAAATATTGTTTGTTAAGTGCTTCATTTTAGAATACTTTTTCCCCATCCTTCTTATTAATGTCCTTTTTTGCGTAAACACTGTTTGGGAAAACAAATGCATACTCACTCACGAGTGGTTTCCAACATAAGGAAGCTTCAAACAAAAGAAAATTATTTATTTCCAAAGACTGACATTAATTGAGCAAAGATTCATCCTAGTTGAGCCACAAGATCTGAAGCAATGAGACGTGACGTGAGCCTGTGCTCTCATCCCCTTGCATTTCCTCACTGTGTCTGTGAAACACTGGGGCTGGAGTAGAACCAAAGAAAAGACTTTGACAGTGTCTGATGCATAAACAGCCCTTCCTGATGCATGTTCTGATAGTTGTGCACACAGTGCTGGGAAGCAGCAGTATTGCTAGCAAGTTTGGCAGGACCACTTCACTGTTAGTTCTGCTTTTTGACATTTGAAGTGTATCTTTTGTTTCTTCCCTTTTTTTTAAGCTACTTAATGTAGCTTGTCAGATTTCATCTGCTCAGCTACTTGAGATGAAATCCATGTAGTTTCACAGGTAACACTGATGGGCAAGAAGTGAGTTTTTTGCATTGCTAGTAGAGAAGGCTTTTTTTTTACAACTATACAGACTTGGTCCATTTTTTTTCTACCTTCCTCTGTGAAGACTGTCACTGTTAATTATTTGACTTTTTTTCTGCTTCAGTGCTCTGGTAACCTCAAGGCTTTTGCATTAGTGCTGCTGTTCTTAAGAAAAGTTTTCTTGTCTCTTCTTTAATAACCTAAATCACAGGCCCAAAACACTGTTGTTTTTCAGTCAACAGAAAAGGGAGAGAAAATAAAAACATCTTTCCTAAATGTGCAGTTGGTCCTTCAGTGGGTGACCTTAAATATAGGTATATAATGATTAATCTACCTAGCTGAAGACACTTTTCACAAGGATGGTCGTAGCCAAGACTTCCCTGAACATGATTTTTCTTCTGTCACATCCACTGCATTTGAAGAATATCTTTTTAGCTTTGCATCCTTGTGAAGCAAGGATTTTAAACCTTAAAATTATTGGCTGACGGCTGTAAGGTGAAACAAGGTTCTGGAGTGTTTGGGCCGCAGCTGAGTGCCTCTTCTTCCCTTATTTGCCAGCCTTGACATTAAATCTGATAGCTGTTGTCCTTGATACATCTGACAACTTTCATTTGTATTTGACTCTTGTGATATCCATTAAAGGAAACCTTTGAAATACAGTGTTTTGAAATATTTATGTAAGCAGAGATTTCTGGAAAACTAACATAGCACTGAGTAGAATTGGCTTTTGCTAGGAGCTTAGGTGCCTGTGTCTTGTTTTTCCTAATTTTGGCATCCTCTCAGGAAAAGTAAGAGTGAAAATAATAACTAATATCAGAAATAATTTAAGCCTAGCAGTAGACAAACGTGTTTTCTGCAGCCTCTACCAGTTCATTTAGCTTTCTCTACAGCCAACTACTCAAGGTGCTCATTTGTAGTTTTGAATTCTCTTAGGTTCTGAAGGGGGAACAAGACCTTTATTTTTTTATTTTCAAGCAGTCATTGCTTCAGAAGAAAGGGTAGGGAATCTCCAGGTCTCCATGACAGATGCTCCTTGTTTTCTTACATGAAGAGAAAAAGGCTTGAGAGTTCTGCCTGAAGTTACCTGAATTCTATGTAAATCAATACATGTCTTTCTCTTTTTATATTGGCAGACAAACTGTTGTTTGGTTTTTTTTCCACGTACTGTTTTACCAGTGGTTCAAAATAATTGAGTAAAACCCAGAAGTTTTTCTTCTTTGTTAATTGAGTTGAGGAGCATCTAATTTCCTCATATGAGTTACTTAAGTGTGCATCCTACTGGGTAATGGAAAATAATGAGTTAGCAGTGTTGTGAGTGCTTTGCTGCTGCTGCAGGAGAAGCTCTTGTTGCTCATTTGAGTGTTGTGACTAAGCACAATTTTTGAGCATGAAGCTTCGTTACACTTTTTAAAAGGATTTTTTGCTTAACCTGACTGCCCATTCCTGAAGGGCTGAACAGCAGTGACTTTTGAAATAGAGCTCATCTTAATGCTTTGAAGAAATTTAGAGTCTCCTAACTGAAGTGAAACCTCTGTTCTTTAGCATCATGGGGGAAAACAGTTGTTTGGTTATCTGCAGTAATTACGATGCTCCAAAAGGTGCTCCATAAAGGGGATTTGACTTCTTCCTAAATTCTTCCTTTTATGTTTAAAAAAAAACCAAACCAGCACCTGCTCAAGCTTTGAGAACTGCCTTCAGAGAATGAAAATACAGTTAGCTACATAATCTGGTCTCACATGTAGGATGTATGGGTGCCCAAAGTGGATGTTTTTGTCAGGGCTTCGTAATTTGTGTTCTTTGTGACAGTTTGAGAATAGCATTGTCTGGTTGGCGTTACGAAGATGCATGCGAAATCTTTATGAGGCACCGTACACGTATGCATTGTTCATTCTTCTTCAAAGGAAACTATATTCTTGAGTGACTCTTCTTTGCCTTTGCAGCGATATCACACCCCACCTCGATCACGGTCGTGCTCTGAATCTGATGATGATGAGAGCAGTGAGACTCCTCCTCACTGGAAAGAGGAAATGCAGAGATTACGAGCATACAGACCACCTAGTGGAGAAAAGTGGAGTAAAGGCGATAAGTAAGAGCCTTAATACAAATACACAGTGTCTTTTTCTTTTTTTAACACCAGTTGATTATGTAGATGTTGTTCTTTTTCGACTAAATAGAATTTGTAAAAATATCTCTGTATTTGGCATCTCTCCATGTCTAACGTTCTGCGTTTAAATGGAATCTTTCTTAAAGCCTTTCTGGTTCAGAGATGTAACACCAGAGGAATGCATGCTGAAAAGGCTTCATGTCATAGAATAACTTTTTTCTGTTGGTGCAGTTGGAACAATTCAGAATGCAGTTTTCTGATAGCAAATGCAGGCATTTTTACAGTTCATTCATTAATTGCCTTGGGGCAGAGGTGGAGGGGAAAGGCAAAGTTTTTAAAAGAATTTTCACTTATTGTGGTGCTTGCTTGTTTTTTCAAGGTTAAGTGACCCATGTACAAGCAGGTGGGATGAAAGAAGTGCGTCACGGAGATCAAGATCTTGGTCACATAACGGCTACTCTGATCTGAGTACTGTGAGGTACTCCAGTCACCACAAAAAGCACAGAAAAAAGAAAGTGAAACATAAAAAGAAGTCTAAAAAGCAGAAGCATTTCAAGAAGCACAAGCAAGCTAAAAAAAAGAAAGCATCAGCTTCATCAGAGGTAGAATCCTCACGTTCATTCAGGAAGAAGAAATCATCCTGTGATCATGAGAGGAAATCTCGTTCCTCCTCGTTGTCTTCTAGACATTCTTCCAGAAGAGACTGGTCTAAATCTGATAAGGAAGACCAGAGTTCATCAACTTTCTCAAGCAGAGAGAGTCGGTCGTACTACAGGTCCAGGTCCAGATCCAGATCTAGGTCTAAGTCAAGGTCTTATTCCCAAAGAAGTTCCAGATCAAGGTCAGCCTCTAAATCATCGCGTTCTCGAAGTAGGTCAAGATCAAGTTCTAATCCTAGGCATCAAAAGACTGTTTCCAATTCTCCACGAAATATTTCAGCACGATTAAATGAAAGTAAGTTGAACAAGCCTTCTGACCCTGTAAGAGCAGTTATACTACCAAGTGACAAGGTCGTCATCCCACCAGTTGTCCCAGAGACCCTCCCTGTAATACCCTTAAGTGATAGTCCTCCACCTTCAAGGTGGAAGCCCGGACAAAAACCATGGAAGCCATCTTATGAGCGAATTCAAGAAATGAAAGCTAAAGCAACCCATTTAATACCCCCCCAAACTAATTATAATTTAGTAGTTGTTAAAGAGGCTAACACATCTTCGTATCAAAAGCAACAGGGGAGTTCTGACAGCGATCGAAGCGGCTATTCCAAATACCGCAGTGACAAAAGCTCAGATAGTTGGCAGAGATCGAGGAGCAGGTCCTCTCGAAGCAGGTCGTACTCAAGGTCTTACACAAGATCTAGGAGTCTGTCTAGCTCAAGGACGAAATCTCGTTCTTCTGGCAGATCACCATCACTGAAATACCGCAGTGACAGGTCAGGATACAGTGAGTCAACGTCTTATTTTTCCCTCAGTGATGATGATAGACACAGAAGCAAAAGAAAATCTGCATCGGGTGATCAGAACACGCGTTCTCTTAAAGGGAGGCAAGAAACAAGCTCTGAAAGTACCCTTCCTTACAAGGATGCGAAGGACTATGATGAGTCTTCTCGAGGGGTGAAAGAGAGTGACAGTTTATCATCCTCAGACTTCTCTACTGACAGCGAGCGTTCTGGTAAAGTGAAGGGAGCCCAAGAAAAGGAAGGCCATTGTCAGTTAGAAGGAGATGCTCAGCAACAGGATAAAAATACTTTCCGTTCTGTGAGGGGGGAGGAGAAATCCAAGTGTGAATGGGATGGTGACCGTTCAAAAAAGAAAGCAGTTAAAGAGCAATCTTCTGAGCAACCTAGAGGTGGTGCAAAAAGTAAACAAAAATCCTACTCATGTAGTAAATGGGACTCTGAGTCAAACTCGGAACGGGGAGATGCTCATCGTGGCAGGGGAGATTCCAGACCCTCGTCCGATAAAGAGGAAGGAGAGGCCACATCAGGATCTGATACAGAACTTAGTGGTCCCAAAAGGAGAAAAACGAAATCCAATTCCTCAGAAGGCGTTCTGGATTCTGATAGTGCATGGAAAATAAGCAAACAGTTGCCATCTTCAGAATCTGAGAGTTCTCGTTCTAACTCAACACATACCAGAGGAAAGGCAAAAAAACACAAACATGAATCGAAAAAAGCTCTTAAAAAATCACATTCCAAAAAAGTGAAAGAAAAATCAAAAGGGAAAAAGGAGAAAAAACACAAAGTTCAGAAAAGAAAAGAAGTGTTTCACTGGCAACCCCCACTGGAGTTTGGTGAAGAAGAAGAAGAAGATATAAATGAAAAGCCAGTTATCAAGGATGACAAAGAAAAGCAGCTTAGCAAGGGTGTGAAGGATAAAAAACAAGAAGCTTGTGAAAAGGATGAAATGGTCAAAGACAAAACAGGAAATGGTGAAAAACCCTGTGCAGATGAAAACCTGCTAGTTAAAAATACTACTCCTAATGCCTCACCGAATCGAAATAAACTTAATAACGATAGCATCAATCCTAACACTTCAACCAGTATATTAAACTCAGGAATAAATGTGACTACTTGCAATAACGAGACTGAGCATGCTGAAGAAAGCAACCAGAATGGATTGGATGTAATTCAGACAGATGACAACATGGAGATTTGCACTCCAGACCGTAACTCACCAGGGAAGGTGGTTGTGGACGCTTTGTCTCCTGTCATTCTCACTGATAAACCTCAGAGTTTAGGTGCTAGTATAAACAAAGATTTACAGACCTCCGAACAAGATGCTGTCAAACCAGGAAACAACATTGCAGACTTCATTAATATTAAAGAAGAAGTAGGAAGGCAAGAGAATAACTCTGTTCCTGCATCTAATGCTAAAGACTGTAGTTTGAAAAGTGAAATTGCTGAAAATGCACAAAGCAATTCAATGGATAATAAATGGAAGCCCTTGCAAGGTGTTGGTAATCTGCAACCAGCTACAATTAGTACTGCCACGGAAGTGAAAAACGTGGCTGCAGCACCAGAGGCTAAGCCAGCAGGTTTGAGAATTGAAATAAAAGCTAAAAATAAAGTAAGGCCTGGATCTCTGTTTGACGAGGTTAGGAAGACAGCACGACTAAATCGAAGGCCAAGGAACCAAGAAAGCTCCAGCGAGGAGGAGTCTCCAAGTAGAGATGACAACAGTCCATCCAGGAGCCTCAGCAGGTCTCGAAGTAAATCTGAATCTAAATCCAGACACCGAACGCGGTCTGAATCGTACAGTCACTCAAGAAGCCGATCCCGAAGCTCTACGTATTCTTACAGGTAAAATGTTTGTGTGTTCACAGCCTACCGCGATAACTTGAAAGTTTCCAGCATTCTGAGGCGTGTTTTTCTTCCTCAGCTTAAGTTTTTCTTCCTCAGCTTAAGTTTTTCTTTTAAAAAGTGCTTATAATTCAGTGAGTGTGGAATCTATATTTAGTTTTAAAGGTAAACTTCTAAACGCTTTTGCTTTTTGTTTCCTTCTGCTTTTCACTTGTTATATTCCACTTTGTGATCGTCTCAGGTTGTGTTTGCTGTTTGCAGGTCGAGAAGCTATACAAGAAGCAGAAGTAGAGGCTGGTACAGCAGAGATCGGTCGAGAAGCCGAAGTAGTTCTTACCACAGTTACAAGAGTCGGAGGTAAGCTTCTCTAATGGAGACTGAGAATCATAGAATCATAGAATCACCAAGGTTGGAAAAGACCTAAAAGATCATCCAGTCCAACCGTTCACCTATTCCCAATAGCTCCCACTAAACCATGTCCCTCAACACAACATCCAGCCTTTCCTTGAACACCCCCAGGCTCGGTGACTCCACCACCTCCCTGGGCATCCATTCCAGTGCCTGACCACCCTTTCTGAACAGTAATACTTCCTCATGTCCAGCCTGAATCTCCCCTGCCGTAGCTTGAAGCCATTCCCCCTGCTCCTATCACTGATGACAGAGAGCAGAGGCCGACCCCCAGCTCACTACAACCTCCCTTCAGGAAGTTATAGAGAGCAGTGAGGTCTCCCCTGAGCCTCCTCTTCTCCAGGCTGAACATTCCCAGCTCCTTCAGCCTCTCCTCATCTGCCCTGTGTTCCAGACCCCTCACCAGCTTTGTTGCCCTCCTTTGAACACGTTCCAGGGCCTCAATATCTTTCTTGCAGTGAGGGACCCAAAACTGGACACAGTACTCGAGGTGTGGCCTCACGAGTGCTGAATATAGGGGAATATTCATATATGATTATGATATGATATTCATATATGATATGATTCAATGAGGTATATTAACAAAGCAGTGAATTATGCCCACAATTCTCGATGCTTCCAACTCTGAACAAGTTGAAAGTGGGCTCAGCCATATGTGATACAATCTGTTGCATCCTCTTAAAAGTGCAAGTTAGAGTAGTCGTATTTTGAAATTTCCTGTCATTGAGAAGCAGTTTGCTTTAATGTCCAGCAGTATGGGTAAGGAGTTCTGGAAAATGGTGTTCCCCTCTGCCTTTGTTGGGCCCTGTTCTACACTCGTTCCTGATTACCTTAATGTGTTTTTTGTTTGCTTGTTTCTAGTCGAACCTACAGCAGAAGCCGATCCAGAAGCAGTTCTTATGGTCACCACAGTCGGTCCAGGTATGGATAGCAGTTCTGTGACAACTTTGAAATAAATGTACTTACTATAAAAATATCTTGGTGTAAGAATACCCCTTTGTCTGTGGTACTTAGGATTCAACTTCTCGTGATAGCAGCCTCAGCCCAAGCAGAATCAGCGTGAATGAGACACTTGGAACATAACCAAATGGTGTCATAAATAATGGTGAAAAATGAAATTTGAAATATAAATTGGGATAATTCTGTTACTTGTTTGTTAATACTTCTGAAAACAAGTTGTCTTCCTTCTTGGACTGTAGATTCAAAAATTTGAGATTATATTTCTTCTTCTGAGGGTATTTAATTCTGACATCAAACTTCTATGAAAACTTAGTATTATCTTGTTTTCTTGTTGAAATTATCAAGAATAATTTCTGTACAGCAATTCCTTTCTTTGTACATAAAAGTCTTTAAAACGTGTTTAACACAAATGGCATTCTAGACCTGTGACTATAAATCCACAGTGGCTTTCTTTTCCCTTTAAAGTAGATCATACACCTATGATAGTTACTATAGCAGAAGTCGAAGTAGAAGTAAAAGGAGCAACAGCTATCGAAGATCTAGAAGTTATGACAGGAGATCCAGGTATGTTATTTACTTGCATGGCTTTAACCCTGTATTTATGCAAAAAAAAAAATCACAAGGTATGTAGTTCAGTTAATGAAAGCTAATGTTTTTTTCCAGAATATAAAATACATTGCAAAAATGGCCATGTATGGTCAAAATAAGCACTTTTTTTTTATTATTTTATTTTTATAATCCTTCCCTTAGGTGTTTTATTTCAATCCTGCAGTGAATTAGCTTTCAGGATTTAAACTGGGTGCCCTGTCATGGATTAAAGCTACCTAGTATGCAAAGAACTCCATTGGATGGTGAATGCTTTTTGGCTAGACTGTGAAAGTAGATTTAAAAACAAAAAGTGTTCAAAGGAAGTGGAAGAATTAGTGCTATCCAGAATTAATCTTCAACTTCCTAGAATGTGTTTCGAAAGAGTATTTCACCAGTAAACCCAGCTTGCTTTTTGTGTCAGCGCTTAGGATAAATGATCCTACTCACACCAGGGGAATTACCATAGGTGTAAGTGAGCACACTGCACCATGATCGAGATTGGAAAGTGAGCTTTATATAGTGAATAGAGTGCAGCAGTGATTAATCCCATCCCTTTTTGTAATTCCCTTACTAGTCAGCAGTAAGTCAGATCTCTGGCTACTATAAATTTTCATTTTTCTGTTCTCATATTTGTTTTTTTCATACATGTTTTTTTCTCTTACATGTTTTTTTCTATGACTTTGTATTAACTCGTAATGGACTTTGCTGCCACCCAGGCTTTCATCATGTATTTGAAGGAAAATGAATGAGATTAATGAGTGTGAAAGTAGTCTTTCAAAATTATTGTTTTAGGATGTCTGAAAACTTCAGAGAAACGCTGCTTGTGCCTGCCCTGCCCTAGCAAAGCTTTCCTTGCAGGCATGAAGCTATTCTGTTTAATTTGAACACTGTATAAATGGAACACGTCCTGTGGCTTATCTGAAACAATCTGAGTGCTTGGCCAGGTGCTGAACTCGGAACTCTTGGTTTGGATAAGCTAGAACATTTTAATCTATTTCTCTCCTGCAGTCGCTCCTGTTGTTACTGTGGGGCCTGATTTTTCAGGCTCATCTCCAGACTTCAAATTGCAGTACGTAAAGCAAAGGGACAGAAGATCATCTCGGTTGAGAAATAAAACTGTATTTGTTAGAATGTGCTGCTTAGTCAGCTATTAATGTTAACAAAAACCAAATTGTTTGGGGGCGGCAGCTTCCTTCATCTGTGCTGAAGAAAGGCAGAAATGCTATGGCTACAAACAGAGGTTGACTTGATTTTTGCTGGGTTCTCATCATGTCAAGTTAATGACTATTTTAATGGAGTGTCCCATAGTGTGTATTCCAGTTGTGACATAGGATATAATGTATGTTCTCTGTCTCGTGCATCTCTTGCCAATCTTTTTAACGCAGCGCAATTTTGAGTTGGAAATTCAGAATGCGATTTTGAGGCATTTCAATCTTTTCTTTGCAGATCTTATGGCTCTGATAGCGAAAGTGATCGCAGTTACTCCAACAACCGAAGTCCCAGTGAGAGCAGCAGATACAGCTGAAAACGTTTCTTGGGCAATGGGAACCACATTAAATCAGTTTATCAGTGTTGCATTTAGAAAGAAAAACAAAAACAGTTTTGAACGGTGTTGCAAGTGAAGTTTTGAAGGGTGTTTGCTGAGCTAACCGAAACTTTACTGTTTAGCAGTGAACTCACTTGACTGATTGTATCCACAAGGAGAGATGTGCCGAAGCCCAGCTGACTGGTTTTATGTCAAACACTACTTTCTCAATACAGAAAAAAGTTTGATTTGCTTGAGTCGGATTTTCCAAGCCATGAGAGACACGTGAGTGAGTTTGCTGACACTGCTTTCTCGGTGCAGCAGTTGCTACTGAGGTATGTTTATAAACAGGGCTCTCTGCCTGTTACTATTAAATATATGCTAGCAACTCAAAAACTGTGACGGACTTCTTACCAAGGCTGCCATTTCTAGTTTGTTAACATGCTTTTTTTAATGCTGGAAGATGGGTTCCACGCTGTCTTGTTTGACTGTTGCAATATATGGGAGGGTATACATACAACAGGTAGGAGATGAAAACAAAGACTGCCACTCTGTCGTAGGAGATGAAAACAAAGACTGCCACTCTGTCTTAATCCTTTCTGTACTGTGATACTGCAGAAATCCACTCAGAAGGGTGAGATTACACACAAGAGAATTGTGAGCAAGAGTGTGATGAGTGAGTTTTGATCCTACCATCCAACCTGGCCACACTTTTGCATTTAAAAGCGAATTCGGTGATAAACAGAGGTGTTCTTCAGAGGCTAAAGAAGTGTTTTGAAGCAGTCCCATTTCAATTCACCTCGCAGTGCTAGGCACACTTCAACACGTTCTGAAGCCCAATGTTGTGAACAGTTGGTTGAGGATATCACGAATTTGATCAGGACACTTCTTAAAGTCTTAACTGACGATGATTTTCAAGGAGCCATAAGGGTTCCTTTATAAGCTGTCTGTAGATGTGTCCCTTTTGCCATAGGAATATCGGTGTGCAGGCACTGAATTACCTCTTGTCAAAGTAGTATGATTTCAGAAATGCTCGTATGCCTGAAAAAAGCATGAAAAGTACTTTCAAAATAACCTTCAATACCAAAAATGACTTCATGTTGCAGTTAAATGGTTCGCAAGAAAACAATATAAAGCTGAAGAGCATAAATCTTTGCAATATTCTGATTGAGCTGATATAAAACCATTTGTAATGTTTTTCAGTGTCTAGAAAGTTATATACTAAGAAGCAGGTTTTTTTAATAGAAAATACACCCTGAAAAACGGGGTCTGTAGTGAAGAAACAGACTAATGTAGCTTTAGCAGAGCTAACGAGTACAGTTGTATTATAATAACTTTCATTACTGACTTTCTGTAATCCCTTGAGATGCTTCAGTTTTCTTCAATGTTCTCAGAGATTGAAAATGATTTATTTTTTTTTTTAAATCAAGACTCAACGTCTTTGAAAATTAAAAGTAATCATTTCATACGGGATTTTTGGTTGAGAACCCCAAGTTTTAGCCTTTGGTACGTGAAAGCAGAAGGGAAGTCTGAAGACTGATGGATGTGCTGCATGTGAACAGCTGAGGAATATCTGTACGCAGGTTGCTGAGCCTGGTTGTGTCACTCTGCTTTCCCACCTTTCCAGGAGGACCCAACGCTCTGTGCTCAGACACTTCCTGCTCTTGTAGCTCCATGAAAGATTGTGCACGTAATCCTCCCAAACCAGTAGTCTGTAAGGTTCTCATAAATGTGTTTAATGTTAAATTGCGTTTCTCGGATAATTATGTTAGCAGATTTCTTTCTAATGGAGCAGCAGCCATTTCAGAGTCAGAAACAAATAATTCCTTGCTCGTGATGTTGTTTGTTGCAGTTCCATAGTTTGACATCCTTTGTTACTTCCCTTACACAGAAAATAGCACTACTGGTCTGACGTTGTAACGAAAGATTCAATTATAAGCGTTGCCACTCAACGTTTCTTCCAAGAAAATTGCCCTAAAATCTGATTCTGTCACGTTTCAGTTCTGAATTCATTGATCATTAAAGCCAAGGAAGGGCAGGGAAATAGGAATGTGGTCAGTCCAAAATTACTGCAGTGTTACCAATATCTGTATTTCGTATCTTGAATTGAAGCTTTATAAAGAAATTCCATCTGGTCGATGGTTGGGGGAGGGATGTGAGGGAATTGGAGGGCAGTATTTTTACTTAGTGAATTCCGTTCACTTGTGCTCCAAATAGAAAATGCACCACTGAGCTGGTTTTCTAATGTTGGTCTGTTTTTGCAATTTTGTTATTCAAAAGTAGTTGCTGTTTATAAAAATAAACTTTTGTACATATCTGAAAATGCTGTTTTCTCTACATCTGGAAAAATCCATTGCTGCTGAAGGGAAACAGGGAAAATGATAACAGTGCTTCGGTTTTGGTATCCGCTTGTCTGCTGCAAGGCTACAAGTTGCCTTTCCTTCTCCTGACCTACATAGGAAGGATTCCTCCACGAGGCTCTGCTCGACGTTTACTGAACAGTCAGAGGAGGAACAAATATTTTGATATTTCCAGGTGATGTGAGGTCTCAGCATTGCCTCAAGATACATAAAAGGTTCCTCTCCGTTGTGAAGAGCTCCACGTAGCAGATCTGTGCGGAAATCTGTGTGCTGAGTTTTACTACTTTGCTAAATATTCTCTCCCAGCACGCGTTCCCGCATCGTTTCCGTAGCACGCTGGAGATGTGACATTGCTTGCAGCCAGCAGATGCGGTGGCTCAGCACACAAACCTGTCAGTCTTTCAGACCTTCTGTTCCAGAAGGATTTCGTCGGATGTGCTGGCGTTGCCCTGACAGAAGGGCTGATTCTTGGTCTTTACAAACTGGATTTCCCTATGGTGAGGATGAGGGGAAGTTGTTTGCTTCCATCCTTGACGTGACCCGAGGATCCTGGCCTAAGCACAGGCTTATGAGCATCGCTTTTGAGAAGACACAGGCATGGGATTCCTTGCTGTTGTTGAGGGGTGCTCCAGAACCTCGCTTGCTCTCACTCCCAAAGCGCTGCTTGCTGCACGCGTGGGGCTGAGCTGAGGTCAGGCCATCCCCTCCCACTGCCTGCACTGGTAAAAATAGAGGAGCTGACAGCCTGCTGTGCTTCCTCCTGGGGAGGCTTTTGTATTAAAAAGCCCTCAGACTTGCAGCGTATTCAAGGTATCCATTACTGGACTACAAGAAGAGATCCGGGGGGGAAAACAGAAAGCAGGGAAAGAAGCTTCTCCAGAGCAAGAAGAGTTGAGCTGCCCGGCTATGAGGTGTCTATCAGATGAACAAATAGTTCTCACAAAGCGTGCCTTTACAGCGCAGCTCTCCTGCCCTATCTGCACGCAGAGAGATTGCATTCCTGCTGCTTTATCGCTTTTAAACAAGGGTTATTTGTGTCCTTGCTCTCGAGGGTAAGGAGCGTTTCAAGTGCTCTTTCTGAAGATCCCCGGGTATCCGGCGGTGTATTAAATGTCTGTGGCTGGCTTGGTGTGTTTTGCACTGGCTCTTAGCGGCGGGAGCCCGGCGTGGTATTTAGATGACCTTGAGCTGCACTCTGCAATCCATCTGGTGCAATTGCCAAAGCCAACGCTGCCTGGGATTTAAATCACAAGATAAAGCTCTGCGTGCTCCGCCCCTCCCTCACATCCATATAAATAAGTGTTGTATATACGGCTGTGCAGCTGATGGTTTTCCACCCGGCTGTAGCTGTGTGCCTGTCAGAAATGGTGTCAGCAATTAAAGGGACCCGGCTGTGAACTGGTGAACATCCACGTGGCCCTCGAAGCGGATGGGGCTGCACAGCATCGGCCTGTGATCTGTAGGGATACAGATCTCTGTCTATACGTACCGATGCATTTATAGGAGGGTAACATTTCACAATCGCAGCAGAGGCCCAAAGCCTGCACCCTTAAGGCTGCCACATCCCTTCCTTTTATTTTCTACTGCTGCCAGGAAGGGGCTGGCTGTTCCCTGGCCTTGCTTCCCAACCCAAGTCGTGGTGTGTGCTCTTAGGGATGAGGATGAGCTCTTCCCCTGTTCTCATCTCAGCTGGGGGCTGAGTGGTGAAAGCCACGAGAACGACTTTGGAAGGTCCTGGGGAAAGGGAGAGGGCACCATCAGAGCCCGGCCCCGTCTGCTTGACTCCATCCCACACTCTGAAGTGCCCTCCTGACTCCCTGTTGGCACTGGCACTGCTGCCCCATCCCTAGAGGTGCTCAAGGCCAGGTTGAATAGGGCCCTAGACGGGATGGGTTGGAGCTGCATAGGCTTGAAGGTCTCCTCTAACCCAAGCCATTCTATGACCGACCTTGGGCCTTACTTCTGCCTTCTCTGTAGCTAAAATCTCTGCCTTGTGACAGACAACTGCTCAATTTCAGGAGTCAGAAACCCCTCGGGGATGGGCTTCATGGGGAGAGATGATGTGGGGAGCAGAGCGATGCTTGCCTCTCTTCCACCCAAACCTGGTTGCCTGCTCATTCCCAGAGGCTTGGTGGGATTTGAACCGGTGCTACGGCTGTAAATCTCAGTGTTTTCACCCAACCTGTCTGTAAACATCTCCAGTGCTGAGGTTCAGCTGTAGTGCCCAATCCCAAATGGTCTTCATTCATCCCTACTGCAAAGAAGGCATTTTTCTGACATCTATGCTAAAGTTTGTTGCTGTTCCTGAAGCCTAACACTTCTTCCCGTAGTCAGAGAAGAAAGAAAACAACCTTTTCCATTTAACCACCTGAAAATATTTGTGAGAACCTCTGCCATCTCTTCTCCTGACCAAATACCTTCAATCCCTTTGGTGGTTTTATTTTTGATCTTAAGTTAAAGCAGTTTCTTAGACCCTGAGCCACCCCACGTGCAGCCAAGGCCGTGCTCCCAAGCAGACCCAGACATTGCTCCATGTCCCTGCACACCCCATTCCCCCTGCTTCATCCCTGCCTGCAGTTTGCCCTTTTTGCAGCAGCATGATGAGGGCTGTTTGCATTTGTGCTCTGCAGCTCCAGCCTTCTTACACAAGCAGAAAGTTTTTCCTTTGTTTCCAATGAATCGCAGCCTATTTGTTTATTTTTTTTCCAAGCCATTTCTCTAATGCATCAAGTTTGTTTTGAAGTTTCAGCCCATGCTCCAAAGTGCTCAAAGTCCCTCCCAGCTTGGTGTCATTTGCAGCTGCAATAAGCAGATTTTCTATTCATGCAAGTAATTATTAACAAAATATTTTGAGCAGTACCAGGCCTGGGACAGCTCTCCAGGGACTCCCAGGCTGTGAATCTCCTTGGTTCCATGGTGAAGCATAAATAACTCCTCCAGGCGTTGTCCCCTCCTGCAGCCCTGCTTGCCTCCAGCTCCGTGTTGCTGTCTCTTGTCATTCCCCAAGTCTGGATTTAAATGGTCTGGATTAAAATGCTCACCAATGACAAATCTGGACATGGTTTTTGGTAAGCCGTTCTGGGGTTTTCATCCCATTCTGTCCTCTATCACCATCATAGAATCGTAGAGTCACAGAATGGCTTGAGGTGGAAGGGACCTCAGAGATCACGTAGTTCCAATCCCCTACGTTGGCATCACCCATTGAAACTCAACTCCTCCTCCTGCTCAGCAGTTCTCAGTACTTTTATTTAACGTTAATATAAATCAGATTTCTATTCCTCACTCCAGAAGTGTTTTATTTTATTTACTTATTTATTGCAGGGCTACCTCCCCCACAGCCATCGCTTTCAGCAAGGAAGGAAAGTTTCACTGCTTTTGCTGGCATTTGAGTATTCTCTATATCTGAGTGTTTACTGAACAAAAAGTTTTCATGCTGCTAATCTCGTTTTTTCCATTACTGATGTATAGCCCTAACGGGATGGAAGATTTCCCCATGAATTCCAAGGACCTAAAAGCCAGAGAGGAGCGAAAGCACTCTAAAATTAATGTACTTCACACCTACCTGCTTTTCCACTCCACCAAGTGTCAGCATTCCCTTTGCAGTCTTAAAAACTACTCTCAAAATGATAGCATCAGAATTGGAATCTTAGAATCATGGAATAGTTTGGGTTGGAAGGGACCTTAAAGCCCATCCAGTTCCAGCTCCCTGCTACAGGGCTCCTTCTAAGGGAAATGTAAGAATCTGGCTTGTTCTAAGAAAATAAATGTTTGAGCGTGCTTGGGGACTGACCCAGGAAAAGCAGTCCATATTCACCATTATTTTGGTCTCTGCTGAGCTCCCAGAGGCAGCCAGCACAGAGGGCAGATGGAGGTCTGAACTGTGGGACTTGGTGCTGACATACAGCATCCTACAGCCTTTGCTTCCTGCATCAAAGCTTCTGCCTTGGTGAAGCTTTCCCTGTTCCCTGGAGATGCTCTCGACTGTAAATGCAGCTCTGGGTATTTCCTGTAGTTCTTAATCTTGATAATTATTTCAATCAAGCTATCGATTCATAACTTCCTGACTAACGAAATGCTGCCTCTTACCACGTTCTCTTTTGGTACGCAAAGGTGCCTCTGAAAGGCAAACCCCATGCTGGGAAGACCAAGCAACTTTCACACCTGGCTCATCACCAAGTGGATGCGATGCCATGCTGTGAGTGTGACTTCTTGCCAGGTTTCTGGGTGACACTGAAGGAGACACCCATAGGTGCAGAAATTCAGCCTTCACATGCGTGAGTGGGTAAGGATTGAAGCTTGTTGCCAGGCCCTGATGAGGTCAAGCTGAGATAAGGAGCAATCCAAGTGCATCTAGCTGGATTTGTGTGGATGGTTAGGCATCATCTGGAAGGTCTTTTTCAGCCCATGTGGTTCTATGGCCTGGGAGAGCCTGGTCCAGTTAACTGCTCCATGCAAATCTGCCTTCCCTGCGTCTTTTTATTCATTTGAAATTGATTTGCTACTCATTTTAGTAATAGGCTTGTATCCACTCTATGCACGGTCCCTGTGATTAGGGGCACCTTGTTCACCAGCTCTCCTCAGCCTTCCCCTCTCCAGGCTGAACGATCCTGGCCTTCCCAACTCCCCCTGGGAGGTCATTTGGCACGGGGACGCGGCTCAGTGGTGGAACTCAGTAGGTCAGGCTGATGGTTGGACTTGGTGATCTTGGAGGTCTTTTCCAACCTAGATGATTCCACGATAGTATGAGTTTTGTTGTTCTCTCTGCTTCTCCAAAACCATCATGCTTCTCTTGGGGACCACAATTACACACTGCATTGGACATGCTTGAGAAAAGCACCAAGGGAAGACACCCTGGCTTGGTTTTTTTGGCTGCTACCTTGAACACAATTTGCTGAGGTCTTGGTGGAATTACTTGGTGGCATTTGGTGACTCTGTGAGAGCTATGCAACTGGATGGACTCCTCGCCCACCGGGACGCTGCTGATGCTGTTCCAGTGCCAGGCTCTGGAGAGCCACACTCTTTCCATCCCTAAAAGAGACCATTAAGCGCTCCCTACCTTTTGCTCCCTGCCTTTTAACCACCAAAAAGGGCTGCAGGAAGGCCCAGTGGGAGAATCCAAATGTTTCTTTCCCCTCAATGTTAAGACTGCCAAGCCCAGTTGTTAGTAGAGATAGCTCTTCCAATGCAAAGCGGTGAGAACAGCTTGGCTTATCTTGGCTCGCTTGATGCATCCAACACAGAGACCTTGATCTTCAAACCTGCAGATAATCCATGCTCTAAATGAGCTTTTTTCCCCCCAATATAGTGCTATCTCCAGACCTTCAGACTGAGAATGAAGAAATAAGGCAATGAGAAACCCTCAGCTTTCAGCAGGGCACTCAGAGTCATTAAGATTGGAAAAGACCACTAAGATCATCTGGTCTAACCATCAACCCATCCCCTCCATGCCCTGCAATCCGCATTGAACTTGCACAAAGCAGTCAGTGATTCCATAATTTCTGTTTTAGGATAAAACAAGCTAAATATTCTTCAGCATATCTATAAGTATGTGGAGGGGACTCTGCCCCTTCCTCCTACAAGCAATTTTTGCCTTAGTATTTAGCTCTTCTCATCGTTCAAGGACTTTAATTAAACTTCCTCACGTTGGCATCACTGCATATAAAAAGCAAAGCTAATTATTGCAGAATTCGAGGGAAACAGAATCTGGAATCCACTAAAAGCTCCTCTGAGAGGTGAATCTTGGATTCAACAGCTCCTTGCTGGGGAAGAAATGATGGGCTATGGGAGGAACGTGGGAAATAGGAACTTGTGAGGACAGACAACTGCTTCTGGCAGGTTGAGACAGCTCCAAGGCGGCGTGCTGGAGCAGCCTGTGTTCCCTTCACTCCCCACAAAGAGCAAAAGCTGTTTTTGGTGGGATTTTGACCTGTAGGGAGGAAAGGACACAGGAGGCCAAGCAATGGCGGTGCTTGGGGCTGCGTGCTGACCATCCTCTATGCCACCGCAACCTGCCCGCGTCCCTCATCCGTGAACCTCATCCAACACCCGAAACTGCTCAAATAACCCTTCATAAACAAACAATTCTTCCTTCCCTCGATTGGAGGCAAGGAAAAAAAAAAAAAGAGAGAAGAATTGGGGTCAAGGCGAAGCAGCGGCCGTATTTCTGCCGTCCTTTGGGAGCCGGTCTGCACTCACTCTGTGGGTGTTCTCATTGCACACGCTGAACACAAGACGCTTTCCCTTAGTAGGACAGGCTCTGTGCCGCGGCCCTTCTCGCCCGGCCATAAAAGGGCAGCGATTTCGGTGCGACCCCAAGCCCTCCAGGCCTGGTCGGCTGCATCCCTGCGCTGCTGCTTCCAACCTCCTCGCCTTTGGCTCGCTCTTCTTTCACGCCTTTTGTTTTGTCTCTCCTCCTCTCTGGAGGCTGCAGGGATTGAGGCCAGAGAGCCTCCAGGAATGTTTCTTGCTTTCCCTCTTTTTTTTTTTCTCTCTCTCTCTCTCAGTCTCTTGGCCTGATGTGATCCCTGCTTTTCCATACTCCCTGTGCCTGCCCAGAAAATCAGCTGCGGGGTGAAAACCGGTCGCTGGGCCAGCAGTACATCCCCAAAGGGTTGGCTGTGCCCCTCCATCCTGTGCCCCTCATCCTGCAGGTGAATCCCTGTCTGTCTGCACAGCTCTTCCACCTCCTCCTCCGCTCCATTCTGCGGAATGGTTGGGTGCTGCCATCTCAGAAGGACGCAGAGCTGTTATGGAGCATCCAAAGGAGGGCTGCGGAGATGGGGAAAGGTCTGCAGGGCAAGGGGTGTGAGGAGAGATGAGCGCCCTGGGTTTGTTGGGCCCAGAGCAGAGAAGGATGGGGGAGGTTTGCAGCCTCTTGTATGGCCCTACAGCCTCTCATGGCCCTACAGCCCCTCATGGCCCTACAGAGATTCTCATGGCCCTACAGAGACCCTCATGGCCCTGTAGCCCCTCATGGCCCTAGAGACCCTCATGGCCTTGCAGACTCTCATGGCCATGCAGCCCCTCATGGCCCTGCAGCCCCTCATGGCCCTGCAGCCCCTCATGGCCATACAGCCCCTCATGGCCATACAGCCCCTCATGGCCCTGCAGCCCCTCATGGCTCTACAGCTCCACACAGGGGAGCAGAGGGCCAGGTGATTCCCTAGAGGACTAAAGCTATGGGAAGACAATGTGAAATATCAGGTATTGGTTAAATCAGGGCAATGCGAAGTTCTCCTGGTTCCCATGAATAATTGCAGGCCCCCATATTGCTGTGAGAGGGCCAAGTCCTTCAGTTAAGACCTGCTGTGACCATTTGCTTGGTTGCTGTCTCACAGCCCAAGGATTAAAAAGAAGAGTGAGATCTGCAGGAGATGGCCCTTTTATGATACTCACCCCCCTCCTGTATCACCAGGGCCTTCCTGCTTTTGCTCCTCACCTACCCTTATCTCTAGGGCTTCTCTGCCCATCCATGGAATCATAGAATCATTAAGACTGGAAAAGATCTCTGAGATCCCCAAGTCCACCCCAACCCACCCCACCAGGCCCGCTGCCCACATCCCTCAGTGCCACATCTCTATGGCTCTGGAACACCTCCAGGGACGGTGACCCCAGCACCTCCATGGGCATTGCCACTCATTCATTCCTAATACCCAACTTGAACCTCCTCATGTGCAACCTGACGCCATCACCCCTCATCCTGTCACTGTCATGTGGGTGAAGAGGCCGACCTCCGCCTCTCTACCGCCTCCTTTCTAGTTGTGGCCTCCTCTTCTCCAAACTGAACCATCCCAGTTCCTTCAGTCACTCCCTATAGACTTGTGCTCCAGACCCTTCCCAGCTCCATTGCCCTTCTCTGGACATGTTGCAGGACCGAGATGAAATTCCCCAACGGCAACAGTGGCAAATGAATTGAACGTAGGGTTGCTTTGCTGAGGTCCTTCTGTGGGGAGCCGTAACCCATTACCATTTTGATGATCTATGCAAGATGTGACAGGGCCAAGTCCCAGGCAGCACCACCTGAGAAGCTAGCAGACCTTCCAGATCTTCACAGGAAGCACCAAGAGCATAAAGCTATCCTCTTCCAGAAACCCCAGCAGATGAAGAGGAGGAAAAACAGTCCCAGAAGGGAGATCTGTTGTCTACGTGCTGGTGCAGGGATCCCTGGTATCTCAACCCACACAGAGGTGTCCCGTGTCTCACCCTGCTCGAATCATGGAACCACAGAATCATTCGAGTTGGAAGGGACATTTAGAGGCCATTTGGTCCAACTCCCCAGCAGTGAACACAGACACCTACAGCTCCATCAGCTGCTCAAAACCTGACCATGAATGGTCCAAGGATGGGTCTTCCACTACATCAACCACATCCACTACAGGAGCAGGAGCAGACCTGGCTTAGATAGGTTGGAAGGATGGACATGGAAACGTCCTTCCCATCAAGCTCTCCCTTGTCGCTCTGCATTACAACAGCCACAGACCTGACCACGTCACCTCTCCCACTCAGCAAAGTCACTGGATGGGGTTGGGTGGGATCCCACCAAACTGGGTTGGGTGAGGTTTGCTGGGAGATACAGGAAGTCAGTTCAGCCAATTCCACGTGAGCCCGTGAGTAGTGTTGGCCAACGAAACCGTGCGTGCTTCATCTTTTAGGAATGTTGCTGCAGTCACCGTTGTCAAATGAAGTTTTTCACCAAAATGTGTTGTCAGCTGTGTCTGCAGCTCCTTCTGGGACATTTCTCCTCGTGTTGATGGCAATGACCTTTGGGGGAACAGCTTCTCCTATATTGGGGAGGAAAAAGCGTGGATGGCAAAGACCAGGCCTCCATGTGAGGTGTGGGCTCTGCATCCCAAAAAGCCCAGGGACCTCCTGGGAGCTCACTTAACCCTAACCCTAACCTAACCCTAACCCTAACCCTAACCCTAACCCTAACCCTATGGGCTTTGCCCATACCCAGCACCCCTCTTCCTTCAGACCCATGAGCTCCAAATCTCAGAGGGCTTCAGGCTGCTCCCACCCCTGTCCTGTCTGCTGGATTTGAGCCCCAGAACAGAGCTCAACCCCTACTCCCATCTCAGCCTTCATCTCTCACCCTCACCCCATCGGTGTCCGCATGTCCGCTGGGTGTCCTCCAGCATCTCGTGGAGCTCTTGGAAATGCTTCCAGGCGTGGAGACACGTAAAGGAGGCCAAGCAGTCATCCTGGGAAGAGCTCTCTGATACGGGAAAAGAGCCGGTCGCCTCGGCCAGGATTTTTTTTCCTATAGAGCAGGGTTGAAAGCAAGACAGGATTAAAACCAAAAATTAAATAAACCCAGGAAACGGAGCGCAGGCAGGACGTGGCTGCAGCGACATTATGCAAAGGGCCGTACACATCTGGAAGAAGTTACAGCGCACGGCAACCGAGTCTAAACAAGTGCAAGACGTTACTGCATTTCTGTCTGCAAAAGGGAGTGGTTGGCAAGAGGGAAATGGCTGGGAAGGTGGGATGGAGATGCAGCAGATGGGGTTTTGGGGATCCATAGGAGCCGCTGTGGTTTTTGGTTGCAGGGCAGTAGATGGGGATTTGATTTTGGTGGGTGGGGAGATGTGTGATTTGAAACGGGGAGGTGGGGAGGTCTTGGTGAGACCCACGCTGCGCTGGCAGCTAAATCACAAAACCTCACCCGTGAGACCCCACTCTGAACCCCAAAATTGCCTTAAAATAGAATCACAGAATGGTCTGGGTTGGAAGGGACCTTTAAGATCGTCTGGTTTCAAACCCTTTGCTTCAGGCAGGGACACCTCCACATTCCCACCATGGCAGGAGAGCTGCTCCACAAACCCCTTTCTGAACCAAACTGAGCTCAATATCACCCCATCACTCCCCAAACCGAGCTTTCCCAACCCAAAAAGCCAAATGTGGGGGGTTCGCTCTCAGGAAATGATCCCTACCGTGCCTCAGTTTCCCCAGTGGGCACTTAAGGACGCTCACGGAGGACGAGGGCCGTCGGTGCTGCTTCCACACGGGAGTGGGGGGGGGAGGTGATGCCGGGGGGGGGGTCATGCGTGGAGGGGGGCGGTCGCGCGTGGCGACGCGGCGGAGGGGCTCTGTCCCTTTAAGGGGGGCAGCCGCGGCCCCATCTGATGCGGAGGCTCCAATCAGCGGCCCTCGGGCTCTTGGCAGCTCCAGCCGCCGCCGCTCCGCATTCCTCCGTCTTCCTAAAAGGGGCGAACATGGCGATGGGCAGGATGAGGTGAAGGAGCGAGGGAGGAGGGGAAGGAGAAGGAAGGAGGGGAGGAAGGAGAAGAAAAGGGGGGGGGGGAAGAAAAAGGAATAAAAAAAAGAAAAAGGAAGAAAAAAGAGGGACGGGGGATGCAAGCGGAGCTGGCAGCGCAGTAATTTCCTTCCCACCCCCCCAACCCCCGAGAAGCAAAAAAAAAAAAAAAGAAAAAAAAAAAAAAAAAGAAAAAAAAAAAAAAAAGAAAAAACCGCAAAGAAAAGAAAAAAAAAAAAAAAAAAAAAGCAAAAAAGCGAAAAAAAAAAAAAAGAAAAAAAAATAAAGCAACAAATCGAGCGAGAGAGCAGCCCTCCCTCCCGGGCAGCAGCAGCCACACAAGCCGGCAGCTCGGCTGTTTTACATGGAGAGCACAAACCCCCGGCAAGCGGAGGAGCAGCGGGACTCCGCGCGGAGATCTTTGCATCAAAATGGTAGAGCCTGCGCCCCCCCTCCTCCCCCCCCTTCCTTTTTCTCCTTTATTATTTTTGTTTCTTTCCTTTCCCCCCTTTCCTCCCTCCCCCCCCCGGGGCTCGGGGCTTTGCTGACTTTGCAGAGGCCCTCCTGAAACTTACCCCGGAATCCCTGCGGAGGGGGGGGGGTGCATCCTTATGGGGCGGGGGTTGCAGGGGTCGGGGGGTGCAGAGGGGCTGGGCTGCGCTTATGGGGTTTGAAGGTGGGGGGGGGGGGGTTGGGGACACGGTGCACGAGGCCCTCATTTGCGTGCATTTACAGTAATAATAATAATTATCATTATTTCCTTGTCGTGTCCCTGTCCCCCCCCCTCCCATCGTCCCCCCCCCTGCCTCCAGCATGATGCACAGGCCCCGTTCTGCACGGGGTGCCCTTCCTGGATGCCCTCCCACCTCCCCCAGGCTCCTTGTCCTCTGTCCTATGGGGAACTGTGCGCAGTGCTGGGGGGGGATGGCATTGAGAACACGGTGGGGGGGCGACAGGGAAAGTTTGGGTGCCCGCTGCTCACCCAGGGCCGGAGGATCCTTTGGCATTGTGCAGCCTTTCTTGTTTCCCGGATGACTCCTTCATTTTGCTTAATTCCTCCCGGCGGTGACCCCCCTCCCCCTCCCTCTCACATCATCCCGGTGGGGCTGGGGGCACCCAGCAGCTCCCTATGGTGGGGAGATGGGGGGGCAGGGGGGAGGGGGAGGTTGTGGCACCCATTGCAGAACAAACATCTCGGTGCATGCTGCTAGAAAATAAGAATATGCCGAGGAGGCACATTGCACGGGTGACCTATTTTAGCCAGCAGTTATGTATTTTGTATTTTTGGGGTGGGGGAAGGATTTGACCTGCACCAAACAACCTGGGGGAGGGGAGGAAACGTTCCTCGGGATGCTTCAGGCAACCCCATCCCTGAAAGTGTGCGCCTATGGGATGGACCAACCCGTGGTTCTGTGCCTATGATAGCAGCCCTGGGGTCACCCAGGATGAACGTAGCTATGGGGATGGAGTCCCTGCTATGGGGATGTGGTTGGGATGCTGCTGTGGTGCCCCCGGTGTTGTAACCCACAGCTGGGATGGGTGTGTGGTGTTTCTGCTGGTACCCATTCAGCTTCCGAGATCTCCGTGTCGAACCACAGCCTGAGCTGTGTTTCTTTCCATTATTTTGTCTTTCTTTTATTGCTGTAGAATTAGGTTTGCACCCATCCGTGAAGCAGAGCATCCCTCTGTTGCTGCACTGTTTGCATCCGACTCGTCCCCCACCAAGGGATGGCATGAGCCCAGGGCATGGCTACTGACCCCATTGCCCAGTGCATCTTCCCCTTTTTTCTCCTAATGGCAGCATGTGGTGATGGGCCACCCCACTGGGTGCACAACTATTCCTCGTGTCTCTCACTGTGGCCACTTGGGGTCTTGTCCCCATGCCCCTCATCAGGCGGTGCGACCTGGTGTTGGGTCACCCCCTCTGGGGCTGTAGGGCCATCCCCATCTCTCTCATTGAGGCCATCTGGGGGCTCAGTAAAGTTCCTTCCTGTGAGTGTGGTGAGGTGCTGGAACAGCTGCCCAGAGAGGCTGTGGATGCCCCATCCCTGGAGGTGCTCAAGGCCGGGTTGGATGGAGCCCTGGGCAGCCTGGTCTTGTTCCCACCTCCTAGCTCAATGTATCTCCCCCTTTTCAGTGCAGTGTGATGGATCGTCCCATTGGAGCTGTAGGGTCTGCCCTGCTGTCTCTTAAGACCATTGGGAACATTTGAGGTCTTGTCTCCATGCCCTTCATCAGTTGATGTGACCTGGTGTGACCTACAGCCTCACTGGAGCGGTGGGGCCATCCCTGCTGTCTCTTGGCAGGGACGCTTTGGGGCCAACCTGGGATGATTTGGGGTAACGGGGCCAGGATGGAGGTGTCAGCATATCTGGGATGGACAGGAGGCTTAATTGCAGCACAGAACCTCCATGGGAGGACAGAGGGGCCGGAGGAACGCTGGTAGGAGGACTGGGGCTGGGACTGGGACCTTTCAGGCAGCTGTGGGGCCTGGGCCAGGTGTGAGCAGCATTGGGTTTTTGGGTGCTGGAGAGTGGATCTCAGTGACTGCTGGCTCAGGCCCTGGGTCAGTGCTGGAGGTGGCAGAAGAGCAGCAGTGCCCACGAGGTTGGGTTGGCTCTAGGGGAAGGGTGAGGGATGAGAAGCTTTGGTGACACTGGGAAGGGTGACGTTGTCATCCCCCTGCCCAAATCCATCACACTTGGGAGCATCCATTCGAGTGGGATTTGTGGAGATTTCTGCATAGGACTGGGAACATCAGCTGGATCCCATGGTAGGGATGCTCATGCACTTCCCATCCCCACATCTCCATAGCATGGTGGTGTGGGGACACGTGTGCTGCGTCCCTGACCCCCTTGTGCCAGCATCTTGCACCGGGCTGGACAGCAGCTGGATCCAGCACCTGGTGCAGCCACTTGGCCTGCAGCCCAGCCGGAGAGGTTAGCACTGGGGTTTGTCCTCATTTCCTCCCTTCATCCTCCTTCCTCTTGTTTTTCTCAGGCAGAGCAGCAAGGCAGAGGCGGTGGCTTTATGCGTGTGCATCCCCAGCGCTCATCTCTCCCCCGTTGGGGTCTCCCGTGGGCCACACACTCGGTGGCACAGAGCATTACCCCGAGGGATGCATCCTATTTGCAAGCAGTGTGCTCCAAAAGAGCATCTCTGGTGTGCCTCGTGGGGGACAGGTGTGGGTGCTGCCATAGCCGGGGCATCGCTGTAGCTTTGCATCTCTATACTCGAAAGGAGAAGCAGAAAAAAAAGCTTTTAAAAAAAAAAGTATAAGAATCAAGAAGCCCAAACACAAACAGCCCTTAAGCAGCGGCTCCGGCTCCCCTGTGCGGAGGCCCCACAACCCAGCCTCTGTGCGGGGCCCAGGGATGGGGAATGAGCCGTCCCCGATCCCTTCTCCGGGGCTGGTCCTGCTGCTGGCTTTCCAGATGGTTCTCTGGCAATGTGGGTGCTGGCTTCTAGGAAATAAAGCATCCCGCAAAAAAAAGTAAACCGAACAAGGGGAAAATGAGCCTGGAAAGTTTTTGGCTGCCCTCAAAATCCTGAACTTGGTTGTCTTTGGGGCGGCGCAGAGCTCTTTTTTGGGTGCCCGATGCCCTGTGGTGGGATGGGCACTGGGAGCATCGCCCACATCGATATGTCCACTGCCAGCATGGAGCTCCGTCCTTCAGACAGGGGGAAAACTCTGATTGGAGGCAGGGGAAGCGCTGGTGGCCCGAAGGAATGGGGCCAAACCCTTTGGACCTTTCCCACCTCGTGCCCCAGAGCATCCCCATGGACGGGGTGCCACAGTTGGGCTCTCTACTGCTTTCTCTTGCTGCTTGTTTTTCTGAACGGACCTTGAAATCCCAAACCAGCCCTGCAATGGGAGGGATGCAGCAGGGATGCTCTGGCAGCCTTCTGCCCTTGGTTTTTTCCAGAAAATGGTGTGGATGCAATGCATGGGAGCTGTACCAGAGTGCTGGTGAAGGGAGGAGATAGAGAAGGGCACGGTGGGGAGAGCCTTCCTCCAACACAGGGCTTCTGTGCATAGCCATGATCCAAAACCCAGTGGTTTCTTGGGTTCCTGGTGATGCTTTTTTTTGGTGACAGTTCTGGAGTTTGGGTGGTTTTATGGCTTTTGGGGATGTGTCCTGAGTTTTTTGGTGGCATTTCTTGTGTGTTTTTTTTTTTTAGCTGCTCAGCAGTGCTGCAGGTCATGGGGTGGCTTCGTTCCCATGAGCTTTGCACTGTTTTTAGCATTATCTGCTCTCAAAGCCAGAGAAGGGAGGATGCCAATCTCATCCACGGGCACAGGGCAAGTGATAGGAATAGGAACCTGAGGGCAGATTGTAGGGATGAAACCCCACACACCGGTTAGCATCATCTCAGCGATGCAGTTTTGTGTCATGCAGATTCTACAACAATAGGTTTTAGTGTCGTTCCTTTCTTTAGCAGAAGTGTGGCATCAAACAGGGATTCAGCAAAGCACTTCCTCCTCAAAACACAGCATTGTCCAAATCGCAGGTAGGTTTTAATTATTTTTGACAAGCAAGATAGAGGCAACATCCTGAGCTACTTATCAGAGCGCTTTTCCTTACTGCAGTTTAATATTGAAGGTCAACATTCAGTGCTTCAGCAGCTGCAAAATGCTACCAAAAAGTAGATTCATAGAATCATGGAATGGCTGGGTTGCAAAGGAGCACAGTGCTCATCTGGTTCCAACCCCCTGCTATGTGCAGGTCACCAACCAGCAGCCCAGGCTGCCCAGAGCCACATCC